AAGACCCCGTTATCCGGCTTCACCGGGGACTCTATCGACGCCGAGGGCACGATAGTCCTCCCCGTGGAAGTCGGTGACGGCCCCCACCATGCCAAAATTGACATGGAGTTCATGGTGGTCAACCTCCAGTGCGCCCACAACCTGATCTTGGGCCGGCCAGCGCTGGAGGACTTGGAGGCCATCATCTCCATGAAGCACCTATGCTTGAAGTTCCCCACCAATGACGGCATCGGCTACGCCAGAGGAAATCAGAGGATAGCCAGAGCTTGCTACCTCAAGCTGACGAGGCCGGCCGAGAGGGAAGGACAGCGGATAGACACCATCACGACCACCGTCGCCATGGACGAGGAGAGGCCACATGCGGAGCCGGCCGAGGAAGTCGAGGAAATCCCTCTGGATACCTCCCGGCCGGAGCGGGTTCTCAGGGTCGGAAAGCAACTCCCCCAGGACCAACGAGACGCCATCCTCCTCGTCCTACGATCATACGTCGTTGTCTTCGCGTGGGACCCGGATGATATGCCCGGCATCAGCCGCCAGGTGATCACTCACCGGCTGACCGTCGATCCGGCCTCCGCGCCCGTCAAACAGAAGCGGCGCTACTTGTCCGCTGACAGGCGGGACTTCATCAAAAGGGAGGTCGCCATGCTCCTATCGATCAAACATATCAAAGAGGTGAAGTACCCAACATGGTTGGCCAACGTCGTCCTCGCACAGAAACCGCCGACGTTCAGAATGTGTGTTGACTACACTGACCTGAACAAGGCGTGCCCCATGGACCCGTTCCCTCTCCCCAACATTGATCAGTTGGTGGACGAGACGGCGGGGTGCGAGTTGATGTCGTTCCTCGACGCTTTCAGAGGGTACCACCAGATCTCCATGCACGAGGATGACGCCGAGAAGACGACATTCATGACCCCAGAGGGAATATTTTGCTACCTCGTCATGGCCTTCGGACTCAAAAACTCCGGCGCCACCTATACTAGGATGGTGGCCAAAATCTTCAGAGCGGTCCTTGGCCGGACGATGGAGGCGTACGTCGACGACATGATCGTCAAGAGCAGGCAGGCCACCTCCCACGCCGACGACCTCCGGGAAATCTTTGAAATCATGAAGGAGTTCAGGCTCCGCCTTAACCCCAAGAAGTGCGCCTTCGGCGTCCAGGGCGGCAAGTTCCTTGGCTACATGGTCAGCCGAAGAGGCATTGAGATAAACCCGGAGAAGACGCAGGCTATCATCAACATGGAGCCGCCCCGCAACGTCAAGGAGGTACAACGACTGACGGGGCGCCTGGCGGCCTTGAACCGTTTCCTCTCCGGGTCAGCTGAGAGGGCACTTCCCTTCTTCCAGATCATGCGCAAGGCAAACAGCTTCAAGTGGACGACGGAGTGCCAGGAAGCATTCGACGAATTGAAAAGGTACCTGTCGTCCCCACCCGTACTCTCCAAGCCCAAAGCCGGCGAAACCCTCTTCTTGTACTTAGGGGTGAGCACGTCGGCCATCAGCTCCGTGCTCATCCGTGAGGACGAAGGGGTACAGAAGGCCATCTTCTACATCAGCAAGACACTCAGGGAGGCCGAGCTCAGGTACTCCCCCATTGAGAAGACGGTGCTGGCCATCGTCCACACCGTGAAGAAGCTGGGGCACTATTTCCAAGCCCACACCGTCCACGTGCTGACCCAGCAGCCTCTTGGCGCGCTCATGAGGAGCCCCACTAGCTCCTCGAGGATGGTGAAATGGGCGATCTTCCTCAGCCAATTTCAGATTGAGATCAAGCCAAGGCCATCTATCAAAGGGCAAGCCTTGGCCGACTTCGTCATCGAATGCACAGCAAGGGAGACGGCCGTCGCCAACCCCGGGCCGGAGCCGGACGACACGTGGACCCTGTTCACTGACGGCTCGTCGGCCGCGAAATCATGCGGCGGCGGCGGCGGCGGCGTCCTCATATCCCCTGAAGGATTCAGAGCCTACTATGCCATCCGCTTCAACTTCAGGGTATCCAACAACGAAGCCGAGTATGAGGCCCTCCTCAGCGGTCTCAGACTCGCCGCCGGCCTCAAGGCCAAGCACCTCAGAATCAAGTGCGATTCCAAACTGGTAGTGGGCCAGGTGGAGGGATCGTACGAAGCAAAGGAAGGCCGGATGAAGCAGTACAAACAAGCGGCGGAGGAATTGCTGAAAGCGTTTGAAACCCACGAGATCACTCAGATCCCAAGGGCCGAGAACGCCGAAGCCGACATCCTCTCCAAGCTCAGCTCGGACACCCCGGAGCACATCTCCCAGTTGGCCAAGATCGAGGAGTTGAGCATGTCCAGCATCCATGCCAGCCCCGTCTTGTGCGTCCAACAGCGACCAGAGGACTGGATCTCCGACATCGCCACCTTCATCACAACGGGGGAGTTGCCCCCGGACGAGGAGAGGGTCAAACTCGCCAAACTCAGGGCCCCAAGCTACACCATCGAAGATGGCAAACTCTACAAACGGTCCTATAATGGCACTCTCCTCCGGTGCCTACACCAGGACGAGGCCGACACAGCCATGGAAGAAGTTCATTGCGGCGTCTGCTCCTCACACCAGGGCCCTTTCAGCATGTCCCGGCGTCTCGTCGTCCAGGGTTTCTTCTGGCCAACGATGGCACGCGACTGCGCCGACCTGGTCAGGAAGTGCACCACATGTCAGGTACTCCAGAAGGCCCCTGGTCGGCCAGCTGTCAATTATGCCCCTGTCAGCACCGCAATTCCATTCTCCAGATGGGGGATTGACCTGGTCGGCCCCCTGCCCAGAGCCGCCGGAAACAACCGCTACATCATCGTCGCCGTCGACTACTTCACCAAGTGGGTCGAGGCGGAATCCTTGGCCAGCATCACGGGGGCCAGATGCCAAAGATTTGTTTACAAGAGCATCATTACACGCTTTGGCGTCCCCCAGGAGATTATATCAGACAACGGCACCCAATTCGAGGCAGCCCCTTTCCAGGAGCTCCTTCGGGAGTTTGGGGTGAGGCACCGTTTCTCCTCCGTTGCCTATCCTCAGGGCAACGGGCAGGTCGAGAACGCCAACAGAACAATAATGGAGGGGCTGAAGAAGAAACTCCAGACCGCAGGAGGTAGTTGGGTCGACGAGCTCCCCAACATCCTGTGGTGCTACAGAACCACGCCGAGGAGGGCGACAGGAGAAACGCCTTTCGCCCTATGCTACGGCTTCGAAGCAAAGGCGCCCACGGAAGTTGCCATCCCCAGCCGGCGGGTGGAACAATATGAGCCTGGCACCAACGAAGAGAACATGAAGATCGACCTACACCTGGTTGATGAGAGGCGTGAGCAAGCTTACGTCCGAGCAGAGAACTACCGGCGTCAAGTAAAATCATACTATGACGCCAAGGTACGCTCTCGGGAATTTCAGGTGGGGGACTACGTCCTCCGCCGAAGGGAAGCAAGCCAGCCGACAGAGGGTGGCAAGCTAGCATTGAAGTACGAAGGGCCCTACATCGTCAGTGCCGTGGTCAAACCCGACACCTACAAGCTTACACGCCCGAATGGGTCCAATGTACCACGAACATGGAATGTACACCATCTGGTGAAGTTTTATCAGTAATCCGAAGGAGGTGTAGACGGCGAAGCCCTCACCCCTTAACGGGTTACTGATTGAACGCCACCCTCGGCCTCGAGCCACTTATGAATAAAATCATGTTCTGATTTTTTTTCTCTGGAAATTCAAAGTAAAACATTAGCAGGTGCCCTCGTCGGCCACCTTAGAGCGAAAGGCTCAGGTCCGGCCGACATGGCCCCTTGCATTTGCAGCCTACGAGCGACAAGCTCGGGCACTCCATTGTATTTTTGTATCAGCGAAGGGCTCAGGCCTAGCTGAGAGAGCACATCGTCCTGGCCCCGTAAACCTAGAAGTGAAACGCTCAGGTATGACCGACGATGTCCCCAGGACGAGGGGCCCGCAAACGGCCCACGTCTTGAAACGGGAAGCTCACCGCGTCGTCCACGCGCCAGAACGCAGGACGACAGGCCTGAAATCATGGTCGAGGTGACAAAATCCCAAAACTCAGGGATGGGCAACGACAGCCGTTGGAAACCGACCAAAAGTCTAGCCCGCGTCATAAATAGGCGACGGGACCCGTCCCGAGATCACGGACGTTATAAACGAAGTCCGAGCCGGCCGAAGGACGAGCACACCCTTCGACCGAAGCCTGAAAGAAGGATACCCCCGAATATATATATATATATATATATATATATATATATATATATATACAAGGGAAAAAGAGGGAAGCCGACGGTCGCGCAACACTTGCCGACCTTGAGCAATGAAAAAATAAAATCCCCACAACTCAGGCCCAACTAGGCCAAGTACATATCAGTTGAACACAAGTGTAGTACCACTGACAGGTAACAAGGACGACACGTCCACACATTACGAGGGAACAATCAAGGCCGATACACACGCCTTTAAAACCCTAACCACATCGGTTGGGTGACACGCAAGAGGTGACCTTCATTGGCCATAGTCCTTTGAGGCACCAACGTTTGGTATGAAACAAAGCATCGCAATCCTAAGGATGACCAGGACGAAGCGGGCACTCATCGTCCCCGCGAAAGGATCAAGTAATCAAGAAACAACCTCTACTTGCCACAGCACCTCGGATGGCCGGCGCAGGCCTTGGAACCATGGCCAGCCGACGAAGACAGGACCATCTCCTTGGACAAGCTATTCTTTATCCAGCACCCTCATCGGCCACAAGCCAGACCTTGGCCGGCAGTGGCACCGCGAAGACGTAAATACCTAACATTTATACTCGGGAAATTATCTAAGTACTCAAATGAAGGAATTCTAACCGAAGCGGGTACCAGTATACTACAAAGCCGTTAGCCACCTACACCTCTACATGAGTACTTGTGAAAAAATCAAAGTCCACATGACTATGGTGAAGGCGCCCTTATCGGCCAGAACACAGGGATACAAGCCGACAACGGCCCTGGCTAAAACACCTGGGATGAATCCAAGGCCAGGACGATAAGGACGCCAACGTCTGGACGGAACGGACACTGCGGTCAGGGCTAAAAAGGGAAGCACCTAAAAGGAATCAAAAACACTTAGGAAATTTTGTGAAAAATCCTAAGTGTTATGATAGCAAAGAAACACCGGTGAAGCCGACCAGGCCACCAGGCCGAAAGGAAAGCACCTAAGTGGATCCCAAAACACTTAGAAAATTTCTGAAAATTCCTAAGTATCCTGAAACTACGTCCAAGCCGATCAAGCCACTAGGCCGTAAAGACAGGAGCTACATGGACCCAAAAACACTTGGGAAATTTTTGAAACAAAATCCTAAGTGTTGACAAAGAGGCATAGGCCGACCAGACTACTGGACGGAAAGGCCAACCTCACGGACGTAGCGGACACTCGCGGGTGACCTGAGTTATGACGATACTTAGACAATTTACATAATTGCAATGACAAAGCAAACAAGCACACAAGGGATTCAAGGCCGTAAAAGACAGCAAAAATTTCTTCAATTGATAAACTACATTACAATTGGGGGGCACTACGGCCGTTACATCACTTGGCAAAAATCGAAAAGCTAATTACAAAAAGTAGCCAATCAAGCTTCGGGGGCACCTCCATCTGCGGCCGCCTCATCGGCCTCATCAGCTCCCTCTTCGTCCTCAGCTTCTTGGCCGGCAGCAGGTGCAGCACTGGTAGCATCATCAAGGAAGTCGAACTCAGTGTAGTCCGGCTCGCCGAGGCCGGAGCTTTCTATGGGGGACTCCCGCTCCGACAGCGGAAGCTTAGCCTGCTCTTCGGGATCCTTCATCAGCTTTGGCAGCTTCAGGTTCCGTCTAGCCCATCCAGACGTGTAATTCATAGCCTTCAACGCCCGGGATAGCCGCCGACACAGGAGCCTTTGCATCCGCTCCTGGCCAAGGTTGTAGTAAACGGACATCTCCCGGCTGAAATACTCTCGGCCGGCAGGGGAGTTCATCCCCCAATTCTCCAGCCTGGCGGCCACCACTTCGTAGCACCAGGGGAGCCTCTCATCGGCCTTCCACCCCTCGGCCAAGAACTTCTCGACGGCCTCATCGGCAGCCTTCACGACGGCGGCCTCGGCCTCAGCCTTCGCTTTGGCGGCCTCCTCGCTCCTGCGCCTCTCGGCCTCAAGCGCCCTGCGGGACTCCTCGAGCTCCCTTTTGCTCTCCTCGAGCTTGGCCAGGGCATCGTCCCTGGCTGCGACGGCTTCATCAGCTTTGGCCTGCAGCGCCTAGGCATCCTCCCGGAGCCGGTCAAGGCAAGCTACCGCCTCGTCGGCCGAGGCAGCCTTCTGCTCCAGCGCTTGCAGGCGGGCTATCTCCCAATATTGCCTCTTATGGCTTTCCATAAGCATGAAGGCACTCTGCAGAAGGAAAACAAAGGTCAGGCAAAAACTCTACATAGACGAAGAGAGACAAGAATATAAGGACAATCACTTACTTGGACGAGGAGATCCATGCCGCCCTCATAAATCTTCGGGTCCTCGAGCTTCTTCAAATGAGCCCGATCTTTGGCCGGCATGGCCTTGGCCAGGACGACGTGGCCGGGGACGAGCTCATTAAACACGCCCCCGCCGACGGGGTACTCTATCACTTTCTGATAGGTGGCACCGGTAATCTCCTTGCCGGCCCTCTGCGTCCGTGGTTCCTGGACGAGAGGAAGCGCTGGGGCGGCATCATCAGCAACAGTAAGGTCCACGACGGGACCACCATCGCCCACGCTGGGGACAGTAAGCGTACCGGCCTCACTGGCCGGAGAAGGGGAAGGAGCCCTCTTCGTCTTCTTAGAGACGCTCACGCCGGCCTCGGTCAACTTTTTCTGGCCGTCAGTGGCCGGTCTCTTTTTCTTGGATGGGGCAGGCTTTGGGGCCGCATCTGCAGTAGCCCCGCTCACACCGGCCGCGGCACGCCTGGCCGCTTCGGCCGCCTTAGCAGCAATCTCCTCGGCCGCTTTGGCCTTTGCAATAGCCATCATGGAACGGCGGTCCATGACAAAATCTACAAGGGAAAAGCACAAACAGATTAGTAAGGCAAAGGACAAAACATAAAGACAGAAAGCCGAAGAAAGAATTACCATCGGCCTCAGCAGGAATGCCCAAGTCCGGGCCGTCGGCCTCCTCAAAGGTGGTGGTCATCCTCGGCCAGAGTTGGAGGTCATCCTCCTTGTCACCGTAAACATAGTACCTCACGAAGCCGAGGGCGGCCATCTTGTACTCAGTAATGTAATCTTTCACGCTCCTCGGCCCCCCCTCCAGGAAAGCCTCCACCTGAGCGTCCAAAATAGAGCTCTTCGGCGGGTCATGCAGATTAAATCTCCCGGTGTGGCCGAGGGAGGGAAACTCGGTGCCACTCTCACCAATGGACACAAACACGAACTTGCTCTTCCACCCATGAATGGACGTAGGCAAATCCGTGAAGCTCCTCTTCTTCGGCAGCTGCTGAAGAGTAGCGTAGGCCGCACAGTTCTTGTGGCTTCCTCGGCCTATCTGGTACAGATTCATAAATAATGTCGTCGTCGGCTTGTAGCCCAGCTCCTCACACCGGAGCAAGAACCCCACCATCAAGGAGTAGCTGTTCGGCGTCAGCAAGGCCGGAGGAAGCCCTACCATGTCCAGATACTCAGTAATGAAAGGGTGAAGAGGAAACCTCAACCCCTTCGCAAAACTCATCGGGTATACTCCAAAGTATCCCGGCGGCGGAAGTAGAACATGGTCCGTCGGCTTGGGCGCCCTAACCTGCCCGAACGGCCCCACGTACATCTGGGCAACCAGATAGTCGGCCGCACTGCTCTCTGGCTTTATCAGGTAGATGTTGGTGAGATCCAAGTAGGAGACGCCGGGCCCACTCTTCGGCCTCCTCACTCTCTTCGGCTTGGCGGCTCCCTTAACGGCGGACACCGGCCTCGGGCACGGAATGACAGCAGAAGTGGACGCCCCGTCCACCACTCGGGACGCACCTACGTCCTCACCCCTTGAAGAAGAGGCGGACTCCTCGTCCTCGCCTTCCTCGTCCATCAGCTCCGCGGATTTGTATGGACTTAAACGCTCTATCTCCTCCTCAAACTCCTCGAGCACCTCGTAGTCAAGCGACCTCGTGGAGGGCTGGTCGTCGTAGGGGTAGTAGTCGTCGTTCAAGCTCTTCATCACTACTACTACGGGCTTAAGGAGAACTTACGATCTAAAGGTGTTTAAATGCCTAACACTAGATCAACTACTTACGGAGCAAAATAAGAAAAGTGAGGAAGATCGTGATGAACACTAACCTCAAACAATGAAGAACACGAAGAACAGGCTTGGGAGTTTATCTCTCTAGAAAATCGGCCAGCACTTCGACAAATTCAGAATGCAAATGCGATTCTTCGTCGGAGGGGAAGGGGTATTTATAGACCCCCCCACCAACGGTCACTACACGTGGCACTCCCCCAATGGCCACATCAACGGCCACCACTGGGGGGCCACCACGTCACCAACGGGCCAGGACCAACCCATATCAACGGACCACTGACAAATCGGACTCTACGGCCTACACACGCTCAACGGCTTTACAACTGCCAGCAAGCGCCCACAACGTCCCACTTGCTCACCAAGATCACAAATGCCAAACAATAAGCGGATGGCAATGGCCAGGAACGTAACGCCATGAGAGTTGGATTCAGGGGGACTACGGCGAGACCGCTTCGGCCAGGGACTCAAGCAACTCCTTCACCCCTCACACTCCCTTCGGCCTGAAGCAGTGGGGGACTGGGGGACTACACCGGCCTCAACAAAACAAAAAAGTGCGAACAAAGTAGCCACAAAGCATGGCCACATCATCCAACCAACAACGGCCAAAAGGAGTGCGCAAACACCCTCATCGGCCACACAAAGAAAATGAGGCCATCGTCCTCAAAGCAAGGAACAAACTCAACGGCTTCACCGGCCCAAACATAAACTTCAACCACCAACGTCCAGGAAAGGGAAAACGCGCCTTCAACGTCCACCATTGAAAGAAGGACACTCATCGTCCCAAAACAAATTAAGGAAACAACGGCCTCCCCACCACAGCGAGGAACAGGTAACGGCCAAAGCACAGAACAGGATCACCAAAGAGGAAACAACGCCAACGCCGCAACGGCTAACGGCCAAGAAATGCCCGCGTCGGCCAAAAGCAACAAAGCACAGAAATCTACTCTCCTTCACTTCGTCTACGTCTCAGCTTAGAGAGTGGGGGACTCCTGATGGAGTATATGGGTCTGAGCCCCAGGACCCACATACTCGGAAGAACAGAGCACAAGACAACAGAGTGGCGCCCTCGTCGACCATGACGCCCCCGTCGGCCGAAAAGGTGCCAACTCAGATTACGGTCCTGAGTCTAAGGGTCTCGGGTGCCCTCGTCGGCCGCGCCCTCGTCGGCCGTGCCCTCGTCGGCCACGAAGACCTCCCAGAATCGGATCCTATACTTACTCATTTGTACAGCCCATTAGAGGCTTTGTATTCGGCCCAGTAGCGGTCCAGTTGTAAATGGGCCTCCCAAGCCCAAGGCTTGGGAGCCCAAGGCTTGGGAGCCCAACCCTAATTTTCTCTATAAATACTCCCCTTGGGAGTAGTTATAGGGGTTACGAATTCATTCTATTGAAGCATATTATTGCACTTCTCTCTCTAGCTCTCACTTCTCTCTAGATATACTCTATCAATATATTTTAAATATAATTCTACATAAATCAGTAAAATCTGTCAATGCAACCACTTCAGCCAGAACTTCATAAATTTCACCAGAATCAACCGATTCAGCCGATTTTGATGTTACCAAACGGGTTCTTAATGTGATGCAAAAGCAAAATAAACTTGATCTAATAAAAAGCTGTTTAAAATACTAAAATTAGTTGAATCGTTTGATTCTACTTTAATCATTTTTTTTGAACAAAACTGGCTTAACTTATCATTACCAAACAAACCACGCAAAACCAACTAAAATAGGTAACCGTGTGACGACAAGTCTCCTGTCTACCGTCCGCCCAAGGACCAGACTCTGAATTAATCACCTCCGTAGAAGCCATATAATTCGCTGATCCCACTTTGGGTTTACCTGAGCCTATGACTTGTAGACACGTCAGCTCCTATGTTAGTTCATAAGTATCTTTGCTGCACAGCACAACCAAAACAAAAGCAACATCCAGAACGTGGAAAACAAATAAAACAAAATAACAAGAGTAAATAAGTCTTTCGGCTAAAAAAGCCGTAACCAGCATCAGATCTTCTGGCGGGGCTGGGGGCCGGCACCCGCACCCGCCCCTTTTTTGGAGAGTCTAGTGCCATAGCGTTCTTTTCGGCATCCTCCCTCGTCTGGTCCTCCCACGTGCGCCTTCTCTTCAGCTCTCCTGTCATTCCTTCCTCGTCTAGCTCACCTGATAACACAACCTTCCCCCCACCCATCTCAATACTCTCCCCCGTCTCATCCGAAACCACCTCCTATTCTAGTTATCAGTCATTTGCTGCCCAAGATTGACTTCGCCTTCCTTCCACTTGCTCTAAGCCACGGCCCAAAATGTCCGATCATAACTTGACCCTCCTTTTCATACAACAGGGGACAAAATTTCTTTGTATGTCCAATCATACCACAGCAGAAACAGAAACTTGGCAACTTTTCATACCTGAAATCTACCCAATACCCTTCACCTTTGCTCTTCCTTAAAGTGGTTCCGATTTTTAAAGCCTTAGTAGTATTCATTCGAACTCTCACTCGCATGTAAGCCTCCTTTTTGTCGCTAGCTTTTTGTTCATCCCAACTGACAAAACTCCCCCAAATAATTCCCTCTTCTCCTTGCCGTACCCAAATTTTCAAAACTATACGGCACGTTATGAACCTGAACCCAGATCTCAAATTTATCTAGCACCATCTTAACAGGAATATCACCAGGTTTAACAGCTTTTAGCACAGTCAGACTTTGATCAAAAGCCATGGTCCATTTTCCAGGACCCGATTCATATCGATAGAGTGAAAAAACTTAAAGAGATACCTCCGTTCGCCAATCTCTTGTATGGTCATTCCTTTGCCTGGGCGCCATAGATCCGCCGTGAAGCCCCGGAAGAACGCAAAACGGATAACTTTGTCCGTGAGAATCGTCCCAACCACCGGAAAATCCTTTGCCTTCACTGCCCCTACTGCCGAGTCCTCTTCCTCATCATCTTCAATGAAGAGTTCATCCTCCACATCCCCAATTCCCAGGCCTCTGTATTTAGAAACAATCTCACCAACTCGTTCAGCCTCCTGGTCACGACCCTCCCTGCCCGCCTCTTCATCGATGTCCTCCATCACGTCTCGAGCACTCTGCTCCGATTCTCGGCCTTCGTCGCGATTGCTCCGCCTTCGATCGGCGCCGCACGCAGAACGGCAAAAAAAGCCCATCAGCTCTCGCTAGGGTAAAGCCATCCAGTACGGCCTGCTTACTTGTTCGATTCTACTGTAATCAATTAAATCTAACTGATTAGACTGAATTGACGAAATCTTCCGAATTATGAAAAAATAACATAAAACATACTACGTATATTCTTTATAAAATAAAATAAAAATTATATGAAAAGTATTTAAAATGGACTTCTACATAAGCATCCCAACTAATTAAACATAATTGTTATGAACCCGGTTTTAAAGAATTCACACAAAAGTTTCTTAATTTATCTCACATACTTTTTAATTAATTTATTAAGCATCTCAAAACACTATTTTTTAATATTTCTGATTCAACATGGTATGAAATAAGTATTTTTAAATTTTAACATTTTACTCATTATTTCATCATATAGAAAATGTAAAAAATGGATCATTACTGAATGTAAAAAAGTTATTTTACAAAATAAAATAAAAAAATTTAGTATTATCATACGCCTTTATATTAGATCAAGCGTATAAAATAATTAACTTCGAAGAACAATATTACTAGGAAATTGGTTGGTTTATCTGTTAGGTGGGCAAAACACGAAAATTTATTTCTTCAATAGAATTTAATAAAAAATAAAAGGTATAAATACTTAAATAATTGATACTTAGTATAAAATATCTAAATAAGGTTGATTATATCTTGTTTTCGAATGGCTATTAATACGTAGTATAAAATATCCAATATTAATAGCCCATGTGGCCATGTATACTCCAATTTATGAATTTAATAACTATCCAAATTCATAAGTACTCCGTAATAAGTTATCAAAAAGTTACCAAATAAGGTGGATTCCATATCTTTTATTTCCGTATCAATATGCAAAAAAAAGTAGAATGTAATAAAAAAAAGGTGTAAGAAGTTATTTAAATTCTACTCCATACATAATTATTATATACGTTGACATGATAGGATTATGTGGCACGTGGTATGCTCTTAATAAAATTCCTCTTTTATGAATATATATATTTGTGATTTTATTAATGAGGAAGGAAAATATTTTTTAATTAATAAATTTAACCATGTATGTACATAATATATATATATTTTGTTGACCGTGTTTACCGGGTTGACCCTCCGGGTCTGGGTTGATACTTGACCAGATCATTTGTCCGGGTCACCTCCCAATCCGGTTCTTTAAACATAGACCGAGGGGAAAAAGGAAAATTGAAAATCAACTTTCCTAAAAGAGAATAAATAAAAAAAGCACACGTTTGGAAATAAAACTAAGTCCTAATTTTGGATAGGAGGTATGATTTAGTCTACAAACTGCAAATTTCTCTTTAAGATAAACATACGGAGTAAACTTAAGGAAAGAGGGCCAATTTAGTAATGGAATAAAAAGGGTGCGCCGCCAAGGACGTCCGTTAGTTTAGCAGATGTACGATTGATTCATTCTTCATCTCTTCCGATTTCGCTTTTGTCTTCGATTTCTATAATCGAACCATGCCTACTCAAAATCCTCTTCCAAACCCTATCAATGAACAAACTCTGAAGAATGCTATCCATGATAAGATGATGCGATCGTGCCTAGAGTATTTCAACAAAATAGATTTTACAAAATCCGTCGCACGTAAGGAATTGAATTTTAACGTTCTTAACATTCTTTTTTTCATCATCATCATCATCATTACTATTATTATATTACTATTTGCCCCCCTCTTTGAAATAGTTGATTTATGTTCTAATATTATGTGTATTTAAGGTTGGAAAAAGAATCTGGAATTTTCAACATGAGTTATTTTGAGCATCTAATAGAATCAGATAATTGGGAAGATGCAAAGCATTACATATCAGCATTTGTTCATAAAGTTGTGGAATCTTGTACGAAATTCAGACACAAAGCTACTTGGAAGTAGAAATAGAATCTACGCTAATCTGAGTCTGTTCTTCATTCTATTTCATATTTTACGGAGTATCAATTTAGTCAATTGAAATTAGAGTGAACCAAAATTAGTAGGGTATAGACAACTTTCAAATCTTGATGAAATGGATACCAGCTGAGGGAATGCTTATCTTAGTTGTCATTATTGTAATTCTCATTTTTTGGGATTTGCATTAATTTATTTTTCAAGAACGTTGATTTGACATGATGATGTGTAGAGCGGGCAACAAATTAAACCTTGACGATAGAGAGTCTGCTAAGCGTGAAATAATTGATGAAGGTAAGAAGCTTTCAATGACAGCCTTCCAAATCCCTGAAAAGTTGAACTTCCCAGAGGATTCGTATTTATTGAGACTTTTTAGTCAAAGGTTTATTTCGTCGTTAATCTTAACATTAGTATTCTTCCAGTATTACAAATTTCTTTTTATTTATTTTCTACTTTCCATCGGCCATAGTGATCCTGGTCTAGATTACAAACATGATCTGATGCCAGTGAGTGCTTATGAAGTTGGTCATGACATTAATCCTCAACATTTGTAAGTCCAGTTTATTTGTTTCCATATTTTACATCATGTGTTTAATAGTTCTGTAGTGTTAGTTACTGAATTTTTAATTGGCTAAAAGGTCAAATAGGTACATGAACTAACTTAAAGTGTTAAATTAGCCTCTTATATAGGAGGTTCTGCCCGGCTGTCGCCAATTGGGGAAGTTCCCGGTGGAATTTTTGATGAAATTTTTTGAGCATCTTCTTCATTAAGTCTAGTTTACTCATACCAAATTTCAACTAAAAATTCAACCTGGAAGGCAGTCAAATGATTTTTTTGAAGATAAGTGCGCAGTACATTTAGGAAAATCATTTGACTGTCTTCCCGATTTAATTTTTAGCTAAAATTTGATATGGGTAAACTAGACTTAATGAACAAGATACTCAAAAAATTTCATCAAAATTTTTACCGGGAACCACCCCAATTGGCGATGGTCGGGCAGAATCTCCTATATAAAAGGCTAATTGAACACTTTAAATTAGTTCATATACCTATTTGACCCTTTAGGCTTTTTAATTTTAATAATGTGTGATTGCAGACCTACTCATGTCGGTAGTAAGAAAAAGATGAGGGTTTATTATGACAAGCTCCTTGGTGTCGGCATGACAAGCAGAGTGCGCGAAGGAATATATGATGGCCGTAAAGTTGCTGTGAAATGCCTACATCGGACAAAGGCAGTTGATAGTAATCGAACATATGAGGTTGATATTAATCCAAAAGAGATGCAATGTCTAGTTGAAGCCGATGTTGATTCACATGAAAATGTAGTGACGTGTTATGGAAGTGGATGAAGAATTTATCTACATTGCTCTCGAGCTGTGTTCGTGTACATTGGATGAGCTGATCACGGGAAAGCAAAATGCAAGAATTGACACGGCCAAGCTGAGGAAGAAAGATTATTATCCTTCTAGTATATTGTTGGGCATTATGAGGTTTGTTTTTTTAATTATTTATTTTTACATTTTTCTTAGAAGTAAACTAATATGTTTCTCTATTGTCACTTGCAGAGACATTATTTGTGGATTAGGTCATCTACACAAACTTCGATACATACATAGGGACCTAAATCCAAATAATATTCTTATAAAACAAAAAGATGGTCATTTGTGTGCTAAAGTTTTTGATATGGGTATGTCGAAGCGACTACGCGTAGGTGAGTTGTCTCATTCTCCCAATACATTATCTCTATAGCAACTACATTAGTTGTGCTTTAATGATTAATAATTTCTTGTAGCAAATAGGTGGATTAAAATGAAGTCGAGTTTACTTACAACAGAATGTCTAAGTATTGAATTTTTATACACGTAAATTTCCGTTTATAAGTGAAATCAAATTCATCGTTTAGAAGAAAAAGGTGCTTCTGACACGTAAATTCAAATTTTTAAACATCTTTGTTTTTTACCAAAAAAAATATAATTTATTATATTGTTTATGTAGCTGGTGGACAATGTGGAATCGTAATCTATAAGGCTCCTGAGCAAAATACTTGAAAGTTATCGTATTTCACAAGCTGTTTATATGTTTAGCTTAGGTTGCATCCTATTTTTCTGAATAACAACTAAGAGCAAGCATCCGTTTGGGGATTCTGCGTGTGAAGAGAGTATATTGGGAAATAATAAAGTTAATCTCTTGATGATATCGGATGACTTTCCTGAAGCATGCGATATAATTGAACGACTCTTAAGTCAAGAAGCAGCTCACAGGTAATATCTTTTTGTCGTACCTTTATATTTCTTTTTTTTTTCTTTTTTTTTGTTTAATTATAGTTTTTATTATAACACTAGGCCTACTATTGAAGAAGTTAAAAATCATCCTTTCTTGTGGGAGTCTAGCACTTTGGATCCGAGCTTTTAAAAATTGGATCCGAGTGCTAGACTCCCACAAGAAAGGATGATTTTTAACTTCTTCAATAGTAGGCCAAGTGTTATAATAAAAACTATAATTAAAAAAAAAAGAAAAAGAAATAAAAGAAATAAAAAGGTGCGACAAAAAGATGTTACCATGCTTCTTGACTTAAGAGTCGTTCAATTATATCACATGTTTCAGGAAAGTCATCCGATATCATCAAGAGATTAACTTTATTATTTCCCAATATACTCTCTTCACACGCAGAATCCCCAAACGGATGTTTGCCCTTAGTTATGCAGAAAAATAGGATGCAACTTAAGTTAAACATATCAACAACTTGTGAAATACGAACACTTCCAAGTATTTGCTCAGGAGCCTTATAGATTACGATTCCACATTGTCCACCAGCTACATAAACAATATAATAAATTATATTTTTTGGTAAAAAACAAAGATGTTTAAAAATTTGAATTTACGTGTCAGAAGCAGCTTTTTTTCTAAACAATGAATTTGATTTCACTTATAAACGGAAATTTACGTGTATAAAAATTCAATACTTAGACATTCTGTTGTAAGTAAACTCGACTTCATTTTAATCCACCTATTTGCTACAAGAAATAATTAATCATTAAAGCACAACTAATGTAGTTGCTATAGAGATAATTTATTGGGAGAATGAGACAACTCATCAGAAAATTTTATACTGTTTGTTCCTTAAGATGAACCTACGCGTAGTCGCTTTGACATACCCATATCAGAAACTTTAGCACACAAATGGCCATCTTCTTGTTTTATAAGAATATTATTTGGATTTAGGTCCCTATGTATATATCGAAGTTTGTGTAGATGACCTAATCCACAAATAATGTCTCTGCAAGTGACAATAGAGAAACATATTAGTTTACTGTCTAAGAAAAATGTAAAAATAAATAATTAAAAAAACAAACCTCATAATGCCCAACAATATACTAGAAGGATAATAATCTTTCTTCCTCAGCTTGATTGTGTCAATTCCTGCATTTTGCTTTCCCGTGATCAGCTCATCCAATGTACACGAACACAGCTCGAGAGCAATGTAGATAAATTCTTCATCCACTTCCATTCCATAGCACGTCACTACATTTTTATGTGAATCAGCACCGACTTCAACTAGACATTGCATCTCTTTTAGATTAATATCAACCTCATCTGTTGGATTACTATCAACTGCCTTTGTCCGATGTAGGAATTTCACAGCAACTTTACGGCCATCATATATTCCTTCGCGCACTCTGCTTGTCATGCCGACACCAAGGAGCTTGTCATAATACACCCTCGTCTTTTTCTTACCACCGACATGAGTAGATCTACAATCACCCATTAATAAAACTATTAAAACTACAAAACTATTAAACACATGATGTAAAATATGGAAACAAATAAACTGGACTTACAAATGTTGAGGATGAATGTCATGACCAACTTCATAAGCACTCACAGGCATCAGATCATGTTTGTAACCTAGACCAGGATCACTATGGCCGATGGAAACTAGAAAATAAATAAAAAGAAAATTGTAATACTGAAAGAATACTAATGTTAAGATTAATGACGAAATAAACCTTTGACTAAAAAGTCTCAATAAATACGAATCCTCTGGGAAGTTCAACTTTTCAGGGATTTGGAAGGCCGTCATTGAGAGCTTCTTAACTTCATCAATTATTTCACGCTTAGCAGACTCTCTATCGTCAAGGTTTAATTTCTTGCCCGTTCTGCACATCATCATGTCAAATCAACGTTCTTGAAAAATAAATTAATGCAAATCCCAAAAAACGAGAATTATAATAATTACAACTAAGACAAGCATTCCCTCAGCTCGTATCCATTTCATCAAGATTTGAAAGTTGTCTATGCCCTACTTCCATTGACTAAATTGATACTCCGTAAAATATTAAATTGAATGAAGAACAGACTCACATTAGCGCAGATTCCATTGCTACTTCCAATGAGCTCTGTGTCTGAATTTCGTACAAGATTCCACAAATTTTATCAACAAATGCTGATAAGTAATGCCTTGCATCTTCCCAATCACCTGATTCTATTAGATGCTCAAAATAACTCATGTTGAAATTTCCAGATTCTTTTTCTAATCTTAAATACACAAAATATTAGAACATCAATCAACTATTTCAAAGAGGGGGGGCAAATAATAATAATAGTAATGATGATATTGGTGATGAAAAAAAGAAAGTTAAGAACGTTAAAATTCAATTCCTTACGTGCGACGAGATTCTGTAAAACCTATTTTGTGGAAATACTATAGGCACGATGGCATCATGTTATCATGGATAACATTCTTCAGAGGTTGTTCATCGATAGGGTTTGGAAGAGGATTTTGAGTAGGCATGATTCGATTATAGAAATCGAAGACAAAAGCGAAAGGATCAAAAGCAGACGAGAGAAAGAACCGGAAGAGATGAAGAATGAATCAATCGTACATCTGCTAAACTAACGAACGTCCTTGGCGGCGCACCCTTTTTATTCCATTACTAAATTGGCCCTCTTTCCTTAAGTCTACTTCGTATCTTATCTTAAAGAGAAATTTGCAGTTTGTAGACTAAATCATACCTCCTTTCCAAAATTAGGACTTAGTTTTATTTCCAACCGTGTGCTTTTTTTATTTATTCTCTTTTAGGAAAGTTGATTTTCAATTTTCCTTTTTACCCTCGGTCTATAATAAAACATTTTATTATCATATTTTTAGTCGAACAGCCTACACAAGCATATGTTATACGTAGTAATACCTATTTTCACAAACACTTATCTTATAATAACTAATTGGATAAACATTTGCACACGCATATGATCTTGCAAACAGCTTACATGGGGAGTCTTTACTTCGTAACTTCTCATTACTATTCAAGTATACTGTCCATGCATCAAGTACTTTCGTGGACATGTACTCTTTATCTCCCGGTGTAAGCATGTCAGCACGCATTATAGTCAAACCTTTGAACTTGAAAACAATCCCATCCCTACATTAAAACATAGGTTACAATACTCACTTCATTCTAACTTTAAATCACTTTAAAGTTTATTGATGCACTTTTTTATATACTTACTTTTTCTTTGCATCTTTTTGCATTAACCATCTGTAGATTAGCTTTTCAGTTGTATTTAAATAGTCACTTGGGTCTATTATGTTTGCCATGTTTCGAGATTTTAGAACTTCAGCATCCTTTCCTCTTCTTCTTGACCTGAGTTACGTTCCATCCTTCCTTTTCCTAAATCCAACTCACGGTTCTTCTTACTATTGTTCCTCTTCGGGTCCTGTTACTCAAATAAAATACTGTTTTATATACTCTTTATATACATATTTATTGATGTTAAATTTTAATTACCTCAAGATTTGTTCCTTCCTTCTCATTTATCATGTTATCCGGGACTTCACCTTGAATATCTACCTGCAATGACATTATCAAAATGTTAAAATTAATTTTATGTATTAAATTTATTGTGCCTTATTATGATAGCATACCTCTTCGTCGCCCTGTGATTACTCAGTTATTTCCACATTGTTCTTCTCCACACCAGCAAAGCTTTGCTTATGAAAGTATTCATTTTCAAATTGTGCACATACCTCAAATATGGGGCCCCATTGCGTGACTTCATCTGGTGTCAGTCCAATTGAGAATGAGGGAATGTCTTCAATGCCTTTTTCAGAAAGTGCCTTCTTAGCAATTGCATTTATTACCCTCTCAATAGCTGCTATAGTCTCAAGATTGCTCCAATATGCTCATTGTTTCTTCCATCATCTTCTTCCCTAATATCCACATTTGTTTCCATTTCCCCATGCCAATTAAGTGCTGCGCAGATTCTTGCAGCTTTTTGAAGTTTTCATTATCAATTAACTTTTGTGGTTCTTTTTCAAAGATATTGATCACACCGATCACATTGGCAGCTATCTCTTTGCTCAATTGTGTGAATCTCCTTTCAAATTCCTATTTATAATGATACACTTGTCTTTGTGTTATGCATTGCATTGCACATAAATGTTTATTCATTGACTTTCATACTAATTCATAAGCATATGCACTTTTATCAAACGAAAATTATGCATATATACCTCAACCAAAATGATGCATGTTATAGTTCAATATATAAATCTTGTACATATAAGTCAAATGAAATGCATAAACTATCACTTGGTCAACAGTAATGCACATTGCCAATTATCATTGTGTTTAACTTTAACTAATGACGCATGTTATAGTTCTACTTAATGCACACACATACATATATTTAACAACCTCATTATCAATCTTGATATACATATATACTCTATCGTTACATGACATTGTTAATCCTAAATCCAATGCACATATTCTTAAATAGTCACATGCACATTTATACTTTACTTGATCAATTCCTGATAATCACTTCCAGTATTGAGTCAGTTGTATACTCATACAACCACTTCTAAAAAACATACAAAGTATATAATTATTCATCTTTTTACCTGAGATTTGTGTTCACCAGTTGATTTCATATGCTCTATACATCCAACACCCTCTTCCAAATCCATTGGACCAACACAACATCCCATTCCGAATCCTCCAGTTTCAATCTCGGGCACTTCTCTCTCCCTTAACAATTTCCCATTCCATCCCTTTATAACTGGTAAAGACCTCTTCACTTTTCTTCTGAACAGCACAACTCTATCAACATAAAACAACTGCAAGATAAACCATAAACTTTAAAAAATATGCAAAATGTGTAAGCTTACCATCAAATACAACAATGGGCCAGTGAAGGCATTGTCCTTCTTTTTCTGCCATGACCACTTAGCGTCAACCAAAATAGACAACACATGGTCACACCAGTCCAAGTCTTTTATTTTCCCAACATCATGGATTGTTCATTATTAATGGGTTTGCCTACCCATTCAGTGTGCTATCTAGTAGAACAGACACAAGGAGGACAATAAAATGTCTGATGAACCAATCACCACCATGAGTTCTAAGTCTCTATTGTGCACAAATATCTGAGGGGACTAATTTTGGTTTCTTCTTTATCAAACATTGCCTTTCATTCGTTTAACAATTCACAATCTTCACTTTTCTTCTTTACAACAATAGTTTTCCACCCAATGGGAAACCTAAAACTCGAGCAACATCTTGTTCTGTAATTTGTACATGTGTGCCATTCTCTAACACCAATGAACATTTTTTAGCATCGAAGTTATCAACTTAATTAAGACAGATACTTTAAAAAATCACAAAAATCAATCATAACCAATTCTGTAATGTATGATTGTTGTCCAACAGAAAGTAGAGACTTGGGTACAACTGTACAAGTAAAACTCCACAACAAGTCCGGAAAAAACAAATGAGTCATGAAAAATTGAAACTCCAACACATCAGGCAGCTTGAATATGGTTATTTCTCAGAATTTAGAGAACAATTCCTGCTGTCATTGAAAGCAAGCTCATTACAAGTTCTGCATAGTCTCTTAGACTTTTTGGAAGCTTCAATGGACTTCTCTTTACCGCTCTTTATTCTCTTCCCACAACCCTTGTTCCTTGCAATCTCGGGTGGATGAACATTAACCTCAGTCGCGATAGAAGAACCATATAATGAGGTAATGATGTCATTTTTTGTACTACTTGATCCACTTGATGCCTTTAGGGAAATAAACATGTCCTTCTGTGTTATGAATAATCTAGACAATACACGTGGCAAGCCATGGATAGAATTGTAGTCTACATGGCCATTGTATACGGATTTAGAGTTGGGCTTAGTTAGTTAGTTAGTTGTTACTAAATGATTAGTTGAATCTGGTTGAAACGGGAGGTGTATAAATAAGCCCAGATTGTATACTTTTACACAGCTTGAATAAAATGATCGTCTTCTTCCCTATGCCTTAATCTACTCAGTTTTCTTGTTCGGATTCTATTCTTCTCATTAGAATTCCTACTGCTTTAGCTAATTCATCGATTTCAATCCTTGAATATAGCAATTGGTATCAGAGCTTGAAGATCCAATCCCGTCCATCAGCAACGAAATCAAACTCTGGCGAAGAAACTTACAGTTGCAGTTCTTTCTGCAATCATGGAGGATAAGGTAGTTGGATTGGAACGACAATTGGAAGAACAGAACCGCAGAAATAAACTTCGGTTTGCGGAAAGTCAACAGAAATTGGATGCGGTGCTACTCCTATTACAGAAGAAGGTGGACGGAGAGGATGTTCATTCAACACATTCCAATCATTCCAATCACATTCATTCGAAATTTCGAACCCCGATCATGTAGCGATACACGGTAATCCGAATATTCACTCCAGAACTCTTGGTTTTTCTCCTGAAATTGAGTTCCCTAGTTTCAATGGATCTTCACCTAGAAGTTGGATACAAAAGTGTGTTCAATATTTTGAATTGTGTAAGGTAGAACACAACGTCACAACATGAAGGTTGACCTAGCCTCTTTATACCTGACTGGCAGAGCGGAATCCTGGTTCAATGGTTATATATTTGTGCACAAAAATATTGTGTGGGAGCAGTTTGTTCTTGATATATGTACCAGGTTTAATGAAGAAATGGGGGGGTCTGTGGTGGAAGATTTTAATAAGCTGCAACAAATTAACTATCTAGATGATTATATGGATACATTTGAGAGTCTCAAAGGTCTGATGTTGCAAAGAAACGAGATATTGCCGGATGAATTTGATAGGGATGCTGGGAGTCAGTCCTATTTTGATAATAATATTAAGTATTTTGATCATGTATACTCAAGGAGGAATAAGGGTCATAATAAGTAGCTATATGTTACTAGTTATCGGATGGGGGGAATATGACTATAAATAGCTAGGTCCTTGTAATAATTGGGAGGCTGGTATTGGCTTATATTGGGCTGGGACTTGGAGAGAGGCATCTCTTAAAACTGCCAGACACTAATTCTCTCTCTTGTTTGTTATACGATCTTTCCCCATTACTGTTCATTGTCCCTTTTTCTCCAATTCTGCTGCTAGATTATTGTTCGTAGGTCTGATTCCCTATCATTGGTATCAGAGCTGACGATCAGAGGACCTGTTTATGGTGGCGGCGAGAAGAAAAATGAATGACCGAGTGGAAAACTTGGAGCGAGAATTGGCGCGACAATCTGCAGAGATTGAGCGCGAGCTGGCAAGGCACCGCGAAGAGGCCAGGCTAAGGGATGAGGAGGCTCGCGAGGAAGCCAGGAGGAGGAGCGAGGAAGTCAAAAATGACCTCGATGACATTCGCGAGCTGCTGAGACATAAACATCGCCATCATTCCCGCGAACGATCATCGCACTCTAAGGCGAGTACTAGACATGGAAGCAGTGACTCACGTTCAATCTCAGGTAGTCATCGATCCCCTTCCTTCAAACCGATTGATAAACGACGTAGTTGGATGGAGAAATCTGGAAGAAAAGTTGATTTACCGTTATTTAATGGCACTGATGCATATGGTTGGACTATTAAGGTGGAGCGTTTTTTTAAATTGAATCAAATTGATGAGGAGGAGAAGGTTGATCTAGTAACTCTGGCCATGGAGGGAAGGGCTTTAAACTGGTATCACTGGTGGGAGGAGCACTCGAATATTAGAACCTGGGAATTGTTTAAAGGGGCTCTGTTGGAGAGATTTGAACCAGGATTGGATCAGGATCCATATGGTCCATTATTAAATCTCAGGCAGACTGGAAGTGTGATGGAGTACAGAGATGAGTTTGAATTGGTGTCAGCACCTTTGAAAAGCACCTTTGAAAAACACTGACGTGCAAATGCTTAAGGGGATTTTTATGAAAGGATTGAAGCCTGAGGTTAAAGCTGAATTGAAGAAGAATCCTGTTAGAACACTGACAGAAGTCATGAATAAGGCTTCGAGGGTAGAAGAGAGTAATGCTATCCTCTGTTCCAGCAGGCACAGGGAAGATGATAGGAGAGGAAACAAGGGGACTGTTACCAATCCACCTCAAAGGTGGTTGAGTGAGAGCAAATGGAAGAGTACAGTGACCAGTCAACCAGGGTTTGAGAAATATCATGCAGAAAAGAAAAATGAGACTGGAAACAGTGGAGTGGGAGTAAGAGGCACTCACAAGCTATCTCAAGCTGAGCTTCAGGAATTAAGCCGAAAAGGCCTTTGTTTCAAATGTGGGGAGACTTGGGGCAAGGGACACATCTGTAAGATGAAGCATTTCCAAATTGTGATGATAGATGATTCTGAGGGGGAAGAGGAGGCAGGAGACAATTATTTGGCACCCATACCTGAAGAGGAAGGACCTGAACCTTCAACCATGCAGCTATCATTAATGAGCAAAGAGGGCATGACCACTCCCAGGACTTTCAAGGTCAAGGGAGAAGTGCAGGGACTCAGAGGAAGTAAGGAGATAGTAATCCTTATAGATTGTGGGGCCACTCACAATTTCCTATCTCCCAGAGTGGTAAAGGAAGTGGGAATCCCTATTATTCAAATTCCTGAGTTTAAAGTGGAAATAGGGAATGGGGACCTCATTAGAAACAATGGAAGGTGTGAAGCCGTCACTGTGAAGTTGCAGCAGCTAGTTATAACTCAAGATTTCTACATTTTGGAGTTGGGAGACACTGAGATGGTTTTGGGAATGGATTGGCTAGCAGGGTTGGGAAATGTGGAATTCAATTTCCATAACCTGTCTTTGAAATGGGTTCAAGATGGTCAGTTGAGATGTCTGATGGGAGATCCAAAAGTGAGCAAGACTGAAGTATCTTGGAAAAGCTTGACCAAGAGGGCATTCAAGGATGAACAAGAGTACTGCCTTCATCAAACTGAGGTTAAAATAAATGAAGATAACCAAGTCAGTTTGGGGTGGATTCAGAGGATCAAAGCAGAAGGTCTTAAAGTTTTCAAAGCCTTGGAGGGTCTGCCTCCTAGAAGAGATTGTGACCATACTATTGTGATTAAAGAAGGAGCCAATATACCCAACATTAGACCCTACGGATACCCTCAATACCTGAAGAATGAGATGGAGAAAGTAATACAGGAATTGTTGAAAGAGGGTCTCATCAGAACCAGCACCAGCCCCTACAGTAGTCCAGTTTTGATGGTAAAAAAGAAAGATGGAGGATGGAGATTCTGTGGAGATTACAGGGCCCTGAACCAGATTACAGTCCCTAATAAGTTCCCTATTCCCATTATAGAGGAGTTATTGGATGAGTTGAACAATGCACAGATCTTTTCTAAATTGGACCTCAAGTCTGGTTACCATCAAATTAGAATGAAAGAGGAGGACATCCATAAGACAGCTATAAGGACTCATGAAGGTCACTATGAGTACTTGGTCATGTCTTTTGGGCTTACCAATGCCCCCTCTACCTTCCAGAGTTTAATGAACCAAGTACTGAAGCCTTACCTGAGGAAATTCACATTGGTGTTCTTTGATGACATACTCATATACAGCCACACAGAGGAAGAGCATTGGGAACATATACAGAAGGTGTTACAGCTGATACACTCCAATCAGTTAGTGCTGAATGAGAAAAAGTGTTCTTTTGGGCAAAGGCAGTTGGGGTATTTGGGGCACATTATATCAAAGGAGGGAGTTGCAGCAGATCCTAGCAAAATTGAAGATATGATCAGCTGGCAGTACCCAACAGATGTTAAAAGTTTAAGGGGATTTCTGGGTCTCACTGGTTATTACAGAAAATTTGTAAAAGGGTATGGGAAGATTGTAGCTCCTTTGAATGATTTGCTTAAGAAGGATGGGTTCAAGTGGAACCCTGAGGCTCAGCAGGCTTTTGAAGATCTGAAAAGGAGAATGACTCAACTACCAGTGCTGAAAATTCCAGATTTTAATCAGACTTTTGTAATAGAGTCTGATGCTTCAGGAAAAGGAGTAGGTGCTGTCTTAATGCAGGAGGGCAGACCTGTGGCTTATATGAGTAAAACTCTATCTCTCAGAAATCAAAGTAAGTCTGTTTATGAGAGGGAGTTGATGGCTATAGTTTTGGCTATTCAAAAATGGAGGCCATATCTATTGGGAAGGACCTTTGAGGTGCACACTGATCAGAAGAGTCTAAGGTTCTTGACTGAGCAAAGGATTCTGGGGGTGGACCAGCAGAAATGGGTGACCAAACTGTTAGGGTATAACTTTGTCATCAAGTACAAGCCGGGGGTGCAAAACAAGGCTGCGGATGCATTATCTAGAAAGGGTAATCTGTATTCCCTGTCGGTGGTAACCTGCCAAGAATGGGAAGGTTTGGAGTGTGAGCTGATGGAGGATAGCAAATATAAGTATATGATTCAGAAATTAGGGGTTGAGCCAGATTCCATTCCTAATTTCATCCTCAAACAAGGACTTCTCTATTTCAAGGGCAGATTGGTAATTCCTAAACACTCAGCAAGGATTCACAGCATCTTCAAGGAATTTCATGAGTCTGCCATAGGGGGACATGCTGGAAATTTCAAGACTATGAAGAGGATATCATCTTTGTTTTATTGGGAGGGGATGAGAGCTGATATCCAACAGTTTGTGCAGCAGTGTGAAATATGCCAGAGAAATAAATACCAAGCTCTGAGTCCAGCCGGATTGTTACAGCCATTGCCCATTCCAACTCAGATTTGGACTGATTTGAGTATGGATTTCATTGGAGGACTGCCAAAAGCCCAAGGGAAAGACACCATTCTTGTTGTGGTGGACAGGTTGACTAAATTTGCACACTTTATAGCATTATCACACCCATATAATGCTAAGAGTGTGGCAGAAATCTTCATTCAAGAGGTGGTTAGACTGCATGGGTTCCCTAAAACTATAGTCTCAGATAGGGACAAGGTTTTCGTGAGTGTTTTTTGGACTGAATTATTTAAGATGGCTGGAACCAAGTTGAAGTTCAGCACTGCCTATCATCCCCAAACTGATGGGCAGACTGAGGTGGTCAACAGGTGTGTTGAGACCTATCTGAGGTGTATGACTGGGAGGAAGCCTAAGCAATGGCCTCAATGGTTACCCTGGGCAGAGTTTTGGTATAACACCAATTACCATGTGTCCACTAAAAACACCCCATATAAAGCTTTATATGGCCAAGATCCACCAGTTTTGGTCAGGGGTGATGTCACTTCATCAGCTGTGGAGGAAGTGAACAGGTTGACAGCAGCAAGGAATGAAATAATAACTGAATTAAAGAATAACTTGGCTCTGGCCCAAAATCAAATGAAACAGCAGGCTGACTTGAAGAGGAGGGAGGTTCAGTTCAAGGCAGGTGAATGGGTATATTTGAAGATACAACCATACAAGCTGAAGACACTGGCTAGGAGAGTGAATCAGAAGTTAAGCCCTAGATTCTATGGCCCGTTTGAAATCAGTGAGCAAATCAGCCCTGTGGCCTACAGATTGAACCTGCCAGATGGCTGTAGAGTTCATCCGGTGTTTCATGTGTCCCTGTTGAAGAAGGCAGTTCCTACCACTTCTACCATACAGCCCTTACCTAAATGTATAACTGAAGACTGGGAGTTGAAGGTGAAGCCAGAAGAAGTGAAGGAAAGCAGGGTAAATGATGCAGGAGAAATTGAGGTGCTGGTACACTGGGAACACTTGCCAGACTTTGAAGACTCTTGGGAGAATCTCAAGCAGCTACTGAAGCAGTACCCTGATCTCCACCTTGGGGACAAGGTGGTTGTTCCAGGGGGGAGTGATGATAGGGATGCTGGGAGTCAGTCCTATTTTGATAATAATATTAAGTATTTTGATCATGTATACTCAAGGAGGAATAAGGGTCATAATAAGTAGCTATATGTTACTAGTTATCGGATGGGGGGAATATGACTATAAATAGCTAGGTCCTTGTAATAATTGGGAGGCTGGTATTGGCTTATATTGGGCTGGGACTTGGAGAGAGGCATCTCTTAAAACTGCCAGACACTAATTCTCTCTCTTGTTTGTTATACGATCTTTCCCCATTACTGTTCATTGTCCCTTTTTCTCCAATTCTGCTGCTAGATTATTGTTCGTAGGTCTGATTCCCTATCAGAATTCTTCTTGGACAGTTTTATAGGGGGTCTTAACCCTACTATAAAACACTTTGTTAAGGCCTTTAAACCAAGAACTCTGTTACAAGCAATGGAGTATGCCAGGTTGCAAGAAAACAGTCTGGAAGCCCTGAAGAAAGTAGGAAGAAACTATGTTGACAGACCTACTTTCAGAAATGGAGAAAATCAAAATAAATTTGGATATAATTATATACCAGGACTGCAAACCAAGACACAGGGGCTACTCCCAAAACCTACAAGCTCTCAAGACAGAAGCATCATGGATCCTAAAAAGAAGCCCTTATCTTCTTTGGACATTGAAGAGAGAAGAAGGAAAAAGTTGTGTTTTCACTGTGATGAAAAAAATGCTCCAGGCCACATCTGCAAGGCACAGATATACAAAATTCAAATATTGCCTATTATGGAAGAAGGTGTAGAATCAAGAGAAGAAGAGATGGGAACTCAGGAATCTGACAACATTGAAACCTGCTATCAAGGGTATCCAGAGGAAGATGATGAACCTCCCTTAATCTCTTTGAATGGGACAAGAAGACCAATCAGCTTTTACATATAATAAAAAAAATACAACTGGTCACTTTCTTGCTTTCCTTCTTTTTCACTCTTAAGCTTCTCTCTCCATTTTCACAAGATAAGGTTGCAATAATTTGAGACACTTGCACATGACTTCCAATATCTAATAACTTTATTGAGATTAATGATAAAATTCAAACTCAAGATTTCATTGTACTTCTTTGATTTCTTGAGACTCTTAGAACTGAAAACCTCACATCATTCATAAATCATCAACTAGTTATTGAGTTACTGATACAACTAAGTGAAGTCCACAATCAAACTGTAGATCAATCCTAAGCATCTCAATTTTCTGACCCAAGCAGAAGCAAAATATTATCTATTGGCAGTAAGAGTTGTAAAAATATAAGGCTGCATCACTGGGAGAAATTGTACATAAATAAAATGGATAGTTGCAAGTTATAAGTCGACGCGAGTCAGCCAAACTCCAAAACACCTACACATACCATTATTTACAAGTACAGGTAATATCATTTATAAATTGAAAAGCCGTGCACTTTCAAAATCGCAACCCTCAGTACAGTGCAAAAGGAAATAGTTACTCAATGTCAACAGATTAGAATGTATAAAAGAAAGCATATCAAGTAGCGAACGGATCATATGTCACCGGGGTAATCTGAAAATTCCGAGATAGATTTAACAATACAGTGAGTTGAAGGTGATGTTTCTCCAAGCCATACTACATCCGTTTGCATTTAGATCAAGTGATCAACCAAATTCAGGTTTAAATTATTTACATGATAACAACATGATCTTGTTCGTCAGTTTCAAAGATACCAGAGTGACAATTCTCATAACCATGTTTGTTACCTTTTTATAGTTTGATTATTCCAAAACTAATGTTTGGAAACGTTTCCATGACGTAAAATACAATATTGTTAGTCCACACAAAAGCCGATTGGCCATGACATAAAAAACCAATACACTTCTATCATTAACACTAATGTGGCCCTATCATGAGAATTGGAAAATTTCTCAAGAGTGACTTGCCCCCACCACCAACTGCAATAGAATATGATTTCTATACAATAACAAAAAATGTCAAAGTTATTGTACTCCGCATAACATGTTGTTCTGATATCATTATAGCAACCTCTTTGAATTTGATTGGTTTCTATCAGAACTAAACACATTCGTTCATTTCTGCTTTTGTGATCACATGGGGCGTTTTTGCTTGTGAGATTAAATTAGATGTTGCATGTATACAAAATACAAAACACAACAAAACACCACAATTTTAGTGTTTTCACAGATTTGCAGCATAAAAATACCACTTTGTAACAATAAATGTCCGGATATAGCATAACTTTCACAATTCCCCCCCCAAAATTAGCAAGAACTAGCGAAATGAAATTAACCCAAACCAAATCAAGAGAAAAATGCAATGTACACGATCTTTATAAAACAATAATAAAAACAAAAATAAAATAAAATTGCAAGAGATAACAATCGCAATAAACAAACAATAAATTCCGGCAATCTAACGCAAACAAAAATCATGAAAACTATTGGGTATAAATGTGAGAAACAGGAAAGGAACATACCTTTCTAAAGATCAATAAACTCCGGGTCAGATGCAGAGCTCTGTTGGGGTTTGGGAGGAGAGAAAAGATAGGAACAGAAGAATGAAGTCAATGAACTGGAATCGAATGGACGAAAATCGATGCACCTGGTAATATGCGCCTGCTATAAAAGGAAAAATCGATAGTCCCAACTACCGTCAACGGTGTTTAGAAAGATAGATACAGCAACTAATCCCTATAACTTTTAATTTTTACACTTAATTTTTATCTAAAATTCGATAGTTGATACGATCATACACCATTATTGACGGACGATCCATATAATTGAGATTATACAAAAATAATCAATAGTTGAGATTATTATTTTTTATTTTTCCTTGTAAATATTACCCCGTAATTACAAATGACTTGCAAATCATATAATTATTTATCACACGAATAGATAAATCGTAAATAAGTAATAACAAATTTTAGAAGTTTCATAAACACACAAATTACAAATTATTAAAGACCTTGTAGAAAACATTTTGTAATTTTATTAATTTATTTCTTCGAAACATTTCTTCATCGACATCCGAAAATGCAATCAAACCAAACTGATCCCCTAATTTTTATAGATTAGGATCCGATCTTATTCAAAACCCGAAATATTTCAGTCTAACCCAGTTGGACCGGAAATAAAATAATATACTACTTCTACCCAAAAAAATTACCAAGTCATAAAATTTGGACCATGATTTTGATCAGTATCATATTATAGATATTATAAATTGTATTCTTTGGTTTTATGATAGTACTTTAAACAGAGATAAAGTTGATCAAAGTTTTAAAGATGACAAAGTTTTTTGGGACAAAGATAAAGTTTATTCGAAGAGTGCATCAGATAAGGGTTGTAAGGCATCAGATAAAAGTGCTTTAACATAGACTCAATTTGCACATTGCTTACACACTTACCCAGTAAAGTTTTATAATTAAAAATATTAAAAGTTAGGTGGATGCATTTTATTTACTTATTTTGACAATAATACTAATGGAATATAGGGCGCAGGGACCCCCGAACCATAGACTCCTACTTCTCCTACTCAGGCACCTCAAGCCCGATGAGCACACAAAGCCCAAACACAGCGGCCCAAGTGTTAAGAAGCCCACGGTGCACATATGGGTGCCTTCAGCCCTATGGCTGAGGGCTCCAGATTCCACAGGACAGCTAGGTTTGAACATACAAAGCTACTGGGAGAAAATGGCAGAACTTAGGAGCCTTCGGCTCCTAGGCTCCCTCGGCACATGGGTAGCGTTCGGCCACAGGAAGAGCCTTCGGCTGCACCACACTCAGTGAAGATTCCTTTCGGAAACATGCAACCACCGCATTTAATGCGGCGTCACATCCACCCACCGCATTTAATGCGGCGCACATGCATATGTCGGTGCCACCCCGATTGAGGTGACCCTCGGCCGTTAGATTATTGACATGTGTACTCATATCGCATTTATGGCTGCTATAAATAGCAGCCCCCTTTCCCTTGTAAAGGATCCCAGCATCTCGAGTTCATTTTAATGCATTTGACTTTCTCTTACTTGTCTGCTCTGACTTCTCTCTAGGTTATTCCTCAAATAACCCCTCGGATAAGATATCCGCCAGGTACACTATCCATCATTTGGTGCTCTCGTTGAGAGGTCCGAACAATCAAGTAAGAAACCATCCCCTTCACCAAACACAAAAAACACCTACCAAAATGGGAAGAACTCGTGGTCAATCCAAAACCCTCGAGGACAACCATGTAGCCCTCGGCGAAACCAACAGGGCTGAGGCCTCCAACCGGATTCCCGACAGCGGCACTATTGGCGAAATGGAGTAGGTCACTGCTTACCTCCATCAACATATCCAGAAGGCTGCCCTTGATGCCCGTATCGGCCTTGATAGCCGGAGGAAGGACCGGAGTGAGAACCAAGTTCCCCCTCCGGCTCCGACCATCGACCTACAGGCCGCTTTCGCGGCCTTTGTCTAGAATATGGCACTGAACTCCGGTGCTTTCGTTACGCAAGCCCCCCTCCAACCCCATTATGGAGGGAACGTTATCCATTTTCCGCCACCCCCCCATTCAACAATCCCATCATACGGATTGGTAATGCCGAGGGTATCTTGGCGCAAGATACCGCTTCCCAGGAGGTCCAATCCCGGGATAAGCGGTGTGTGAACAAGAAGAAACGTCGGACCTCCGCCCTCGAAAGGCAGGGGGGCCCTGAACGCCAAGGGTTCCAAGACCGTCTCGGTGGGAAAGCAACCAACAGGTCGCAAGAGAGTGGAGGCTCTGTCTCGGGGTCCGAGGAAAGACCTCCCCCTCGGACAAAGGCAAAGGCCTCCTCCACGCTGATGATGCAAGGCATCAGATCAATCACGCCCAATCATTCAGGGCGAAGTCCCAAGGGGCTGCCCCGAGGGATCACAGAGACGAGATCATCGAGGCCCTCTGGCGCCAGTTAGAGGAGAAGGAGGCATACCAGAGCCCCCCGCTTCAGCTCTGGAGGCAGATCCAAAGTACGCCGCCATACTAGCTCAAATGGAGGATATGAAGCGAAAGCTCGCCGAAGGCTCAGGCGAACCCCTCATCCAGCTCCGCACAAAGACGCCTTTTCACCCCAAGGGTGTTTGCAGCTCAGATCCCCGGTAAATATCGGGGACAACCCAGCAAACCGTATGAGGGGAAGACAGATCCCCAAGAACACTACAGGTACCAAAATAGTATGATGATGATGTGAGCATCAGATGAAAATTTATGTCGTTGGTTCCTTTTCATCTTGGAAGGCCCATCGTATGAATGGTTCAACCGATTGCCCAAGGGCAGCATTGATTCGTGGCAAGAACTTGCTCATCATTTCTTTTCTTTTTTTGATAAAATGTAAATATATATATCAAGAAAATAGCATTACAATGCATCAAATGTATCAAAAATAACTAACTAAGCTAGCAAGGTAAGTTAGTAGGGGTCCAAACGGCATGGGACAAGCCCCATCACGTTTCACAAAAAGTCAAGTAACTAAGATGGACTAGCTCATGAAGAGCTAGACCATTAACGAGTCAAAAACCTCTCGTAAGGTGCTTCCTCCAGACCAATAAAGGCCCGTTAGTAGCCAAATCCAGTCAAAGAGCCAAAAAGGCCCGTCAGAAAAACCCAGCAGTAGCCCAGATATCTTTGACTTTGCATTTGGGCCGAAGAAGACCGATCCATCCGCGCAGCAGCAGTTAGGGCAACGGCCCAAACCCTCCAGGCATCCATCGCAAGCCTCAGCGCCGCTCCTCCATTTGAATTTCAAAAAAATAGCCAGTCAACCGTGACAGGCTATCCAATCCCAGTGACAACCTAGCCAATCACCATCAGCCAACCCCCCCCCCCATTCCCCAACCACCCCACCCGGTACCGGCGACACCAGGCAGTCCGGTGGCCGGAGAACGGAGTTCAAAGAACCAGCCGGAATGTATAACCATCTACCAAACCGAGGTCCTTCCTCCTACCCCCCACCCCCGTTAGGCCCCGGCGACCCCCAACGACGTTGGTGGACGACGTTGAAAGGCGGCAAGACAGTAGCCGGAAAAGAAACAGTAACCCCCCACCCCCGCCTGGTACCAGCGACCACCCTAGCGGCTACGGTGGGAGTTCAGAAAAAACAGCCGGTGAGTAAACTATCCATATCCAAAACCCACAACCAGTCGCCAGAAACCATTGGAGATACTAACTAGAAGAAAATGTAGATTTAGCCACACTGAGACGGGTCCAAAACCAGAGCAAAGACACCGGGGTGAGCTTTTAACTCCGGCTACAAAACGTCGAACACCGGTGGGTGCCATCTCCGGACCCCAAGCATTGGCCAAATGAGGGATCTGTAACGTGACATATCTGCGAAGGTAGGGGCAAAACAAACCTGCAACAGGGACTTCCTCCACCTGTGCCGCCACAAGAAAACTCCTACAAACCGTGAAGAGAAGAGAACTTACAGGAGGTTGGGCAGCGTCCAAACCTCGGCAAAGCCATCGTCCGTAATGGGAATCCGCAGCAGCATGTACCAGCGTCCCCATCCACTGGTCCCCCGAGCTAACAGCATCCCCCAGTCAACCCGACGCCACATCCGAAGACGAAGACGCTGCAGACGCCGGACAGCTTTCACCGTGACTGTAAACGGCGACGAAAAGATAACATGAACACGATGGCCGTCGTTTGAAGGGCAAACCAGCAGTAACCAAACCGCCAGTCCCCATTTCAGCTGCTAGAACTCCAATTTTTCCGGTGTAGTAGCACCAAGGTGACCTGCTCCTGGATTCCGAACTAAAACTCAAGAACCATTTTCCAAAAATTCATAGACCAAACAATCTTGAAGCCCACCTGAGCCGTCACGGCTCCGGCAGCACCGACCACCGCAAATGGCGGCACCGACAAGTAGAAGAGAACCTAGAAGTTTTCTAGTGAGAGAAACAGCTCTCAACTTCTATCTTACCGATGCCCATCGTTTCTTAACACAATTCGTTGGGAGGCACCGGTAAAAGAAGCATTTCTCCCACCTTCTGAACGTAAGGCAACAGAAGAAGGAAACCCTTCGGAGTTTCTTAGAACACCGGAGGCAGGCCTCCATCGAAGTCGATGGCGTCGACGATAGGACGCTGATGGCCCTATTCCACACGGTCCTCCGCAACGGTAACTTCTCCAGGAGCCTTATCACTAATCCCCCCCTCCCCCGCGATTATACAAAAGCTTTCCAGCGAGGGAAATGGTATGCCGAGGCCGAGGAGATCGAGAAGGATCGCCGTAATCCGGAGCCTTCACAAAGACACGATGGCAGAAATTGCCCCGGGGGACCACCCCCTCTGGTGAACCGCGAAGCGCAGTACAACGACCGACCCCTGAATGGCCAAGCCAGACCCGGGGGCAGCTACAAGAATAATCCGAGGGCGTGGGCACAACCTACACTCTTGGAGCACCCACGCACCGCCTTGATGCATCCCATCAGCATCATCTTGGAATTACGCGGAGGAAAGAGGCCTTGTGGAGCGAGACTCTCGCGCACCCCTAGAGGTATATGCCATCAAACCCAATGAACCATATTGTCGCTTTCATCGCCATCAAGGGCACAAGACCAATGACCGCCACCAGCTGAAGGCAGCCATCGAGAGGCTAATACAAGCGGGTCATTTGTCCCAATTCGTCAGGGGCCCTCATCCTCAAGGACCCCCTCATCACCAAGGGCCCTTGCCGAAGGCAAACACTTGGGTCAACCCAAACACCATCCCCTTGGGAAATCTGCAGGGGAAGAAGTGTGAGATTGGGAACCTCGATGAGGAGGAGGATCAGCACCACCAGTACAAGCGCCACATCAACATGATCACCGGAGGCAACACCGGTGGGGACTCCACAAGCCAAAGAAAGAAATGGGCACAATCCCTTTACATTGGGGAGGTCAACCACATGCCCCCAGCTAAGAGGTCGAGGGCGGATCCTATCTTCTACACAGATACGAACCTGCCCACAGGCTCCCTGCCTCACAGGGATGCCCTCGTCATCCGGACGAAGATCAACAACACCGTCATCCTCCGCACTTATGTTGACACATGTAGCTCTGTCAACGTTATGTATCTCACCACCTTTCGAGAACTTGAGCTCGATATGGGATCCCTTCGACGGATCAAGACACCCCTTTCCGGCTTCACAGGGGACATCATTGACGTCGAGGGCGTCATCTCTTTAATGGTTGAGTTTGGTGATGGATCCCATAGGGCCAAGCTCGAAGTGGAATTCGTTGTCGTCAATCTTGACTGTGCACACAACATCATCCTCGGTCGGCCTGCCCTCGAGGACTTAGAGGCCATCATTTCCACGAGGCACCTTTGCCTCAAGTTCCGTACACCTAGCGGCATTGGCTACTCAAGGGGGGATCAACAGCTCTCCCGGGCTTGCTACCTTCAACTCACCAAGAAGGTTAGTAAAACTGAACTCCGCATTGATACTATCACTACCGCTTTGGAAGAGGAAGAAGGCAGGCCGCGGGCAGAACATGCCGAAGAAACTGAAGACTTTGTACTCGATCCGGCCAAGCCGGAGAGAGTCTTGAAGATTGGAGCCAAGTTCCTCGAAGACCTAAAGACCGGCATTACTGAAGCCCTCCGCGCCTACTCCATTGTTTTTGCATGGAGACCGGAGGACATGCCGAGAATCCACCGAAGGGTCATCACTCACCGCCTTACGGTGGACCCTTCTTCCAAACCAGTACAACAAAGAAGAAGACCTCTCTCGGCAGAGAGGAGGGACTTTGTAAAGAAAGAGGTCGTCATGCTCCTCTCCATCAAACACATTAAGAAGGTCAAGTAGTCTTCATGGTTGGCTAATGTGGTCCTTGCACAGAAGCCACCCACCTTCCGCATGTGTGTAGATTACACCGACTTGAATAAAGCATGCCCTATGGATCCTTTCTCTCTACCAAAAATTGACCAACTGATGGATGAGACAACGGGGTGCGAAATCATGTCCTTCCTCGACGCCTTTCGAGGCTACCATCAGATCTACATGCATGAGGGAAACGCAGTAAAAACCGCCTTCATGACACCCGAAGGCATCTCCTGTTATCTAGTAATGGTCTTCGGCCTAAAGAATTCAGGCGCCACCTACACCCGAATGGTGGCCAGAGTCTTTCAAGCCGTCCTAAATCGCACCATGGAGGCTTATGTTGACGACATGATCGTCAAAACCAAACAATCAAACAACCACGCCAAGGACCTTCAGGAAATCTTCGCCATCATGCAAATAATCAATCTCCAGTTGAACCCAAAGAAGTGCACCTTCGGCGTGCAAGGAGGGAAATTTCTATGCTACATGGTTAGCCGAAGGGGTATCGAGGCCAACCCCGAAAAAATCCAGACCATCATCAACATGGAGCCCCCATGCAACGTGAAGGGGGTCCAAAGGTTGACGGGCCGCTTGGCAGCCCTCAACCGTTTTCTTTCAAAATCAGCGGAAAAAGCCCTCCCCTTCTTCCAAATCATGAGGAAGACAACCGGTTTCCAATGGACAACAGAGTGCCAAGAGGCCTTCGACAAATTGAAACGATACTTATCCTCAACCCATGTGCTCTCTAAACCCAAGGTGGGGGGAAACCTTGTACCTTTACCTTGGCGTTAGCCCTGCTGCCATAAGCTCAGTACTAATCTGGGAGGAAGACGGCATCCAACATGCCATCTTCTATATCAGCAAAACCCTCAGGGAGGCAGAGCTTAGATATTCCCCTGTGGAGAAAACGGTGCTAGCCATCGTTTGGACCATCAAAAAGTTGGGTCATTACTTCCAAGCTCATCCGGTCCAAGTGCTCACACACCAACCCCTCGGCGTCCTCATGAGGAGCCCCACCAGCTCCTCCAGAATGGTGAAATGGGTCATCTTTCTCAGCCAATAAAATATATACATCCGTTTGAGACCTGCCATCAAGGGCCAAGCCCTGACGGACTTCGTAACGGAGTGCACAGCAAGATCCGCGGTAGACGAGGAGCCCTCGGCACCCCTGGACGAGTGGTGGACTCTCTACAGTGATGGCTCCTCGGCTACCAAAGCATGCGGGGGAGGGGTGGTCCTCATCACACCCGAAGTCTTCCGGGCCTATTATGCCATCCGTTTCTCCTTCAAGGTCTCCAACAACGAAGCTGAGTATGAGTCCCTCCTCTGTGGCCTTCAGCTGGCAGCAAACCTGAAGGCCATGCAAATTCATGTCAAATATGATTCCAAGCTTGTCGTAGGCCAAATTTCGGGGGAATATGAGACCAAGGAAGGAAGGATGAAGCAATACAAAGAAGCAGTCAAGGAGTTGCTTAAGTTATTTGAGGCACGTTCTCTCACTCAAATATCGAGGGCTCAAAACTGTGAGGCTGACATTTTATCAAAGCTCTCGGCTGAATTCCCTGAGCATCTCTCAAAGATTGCAAGGATCGAGGAACTCAGCCTCTCAAGTATACATACGAGCCCCATCATGAACATACACCTAAGGCCGGAGGACTAGATCTCCGACATTACCACCTTCATCACCACAGGGCAACTACCCGAGGATGAGACCCACGCAAAACTAGCAAAGCTGAGGGCTCTCAGCTACACAATCGAGAATGGAAGGTTTTACAAACGATCCTACAACGGCACGTTACTTCAGTGCCTTCATCAGGATGAGGTCGAGGTTGCAATGAAGGAGGTGCACATTGGCACTTGCTCAGCTCACCAGGGACCCTTCTCTATGTCCCGAAGGGTCATGGTCCAGGGCTACATCTGGCATACAATGGCCCGGGATTGTGCAAACCTTGCTCGAAGGTGCACCGCATGTCAACACTTTCAGAAGGCCCCCGACAGACCAGCAGTTAACTACGCCCCCATCAGCATGGCCATACCTTTCTCCAGATGGGACATTGACCTAGTAGGCCCTTTGCCTAGGGGTACCTCCAATAACAGGTACATCATTGTGGCCATTGAATACTTCACCAGGTGGGTAGAAGCCGAGCCCCTCGCCAGCATAACCGAGGCCAGATGCCGCCATTTCGTTCTCAAGAACATTCTCACAAGGTTTGGCGTCCCCCAACAAATCATCTCCGACAATGGAACTCAGTTTGAGGCAGCCCCCTTATGTGCCCTCCTAGAGCCATGGGGCATCTAACACACTTTCTCATCAGTTGCTTACCCTCAAGGCAATGGTCGGGTTGAGAACGCCAACCGAACTCTATTGGAAGGATAAAAAGAAGCTAGAAGCCGAAGGGGGAGGCTGGGTAGAAAAGCTTCACAACATCCTATGGGCCTACCGCACCACCCCTAGATGAGCAACATGTGAAACACCCTTCTCCCTATGCTATGGGTTTGAAGCAAAGGCTCCCACTGAAGTGACTCTCCCCACCCGAATTGAAGGGAGGACCAATATGAACCTGAGGTCAACGACGCCAACATGGCCCTCGACCTTCATCTCATCTCAGAACGTCGAGAACATGCCTTCCTAAGGGCGGAAAATTACCGACGACGAGTCAAAGGCTACATCGACGCCAAGTTCCGCTCCCGAGAGTTTCAAGTGGGGGACTACATTCTCCGAAGGAGGGAGGCTAGCCAGCCCACTGAAGGCGGCAAGATGGCACCAAAGTTTGAAGGGCCATACATCGTCGCAGCCGTCATCAAACCTGGAACATACAAACTAAAACACCTCAATGGGACTGAGGTCCCTAGGCATTGGAATGTACACCATCTAATCAAATTCTATCAGTAGCACATGAGTGGCCAAGCCCTCATGACTCACAAATGTATTTGATCAATGGCCCAAGGCCCCTTCTTCCTCGGAAGAATAAATACAAGTTCAAACGTGAAGTACCAAGTACGAAGTGCATATGAACGGCCAAGCCCTCATCACTCACCAATATAGGTGATCAACGGCAAAAGGCCTCTTCCTCACATGAGGATGAATAAGGTGTAACATCATTACACAAGGTACCAAGTACAATGTGCACGATATACGCCCACCACTCTTAAAAACACCAAGTGTTTTCTAAATAAGTCATTCCCCTCGAGGACACCCTCATGTATGCACTACTTCATGCACGATTCGTACATACACACACACATAAAAAAGGAAATCGAGGGGACATTACCCCTCGGCTCCGGCAGGTACCAAGTACCCCGACCATTTGTGCTTCATACACAAATAAAACTCTTCCCTAAAATGCTTTCCGTGCCATCCCCCAAGGGGAGGCAGGCAATGGACCATGTCCCGGGACCAGGATTCGACTTTCAAAAATGAAATGCTCCCCGCGTTATCCCCCAAGGGGAAGCAGGCAACATACCATGTCTCGGGCTGAGGGGATGACTTTCAAAACCGAGGCGCTTTTCGCTCCATCCCCCAAGGAGAGGCATGTAACAGACGATGTCTCGGGTCAAGGAAACGACGCTCAAACCCCTCGGGATCCGGAAGGTCAATCCTCGAGGGGGGAGCCAACGGTTTACTCCGTTGCCTCCCATATAGGCCAAGCCTTCCAAGAAACCAAGTTTCTTGAAACCCCTCCTACACAAAAAAAAATGTGTAGGGGGAAGGAACTCCCGAGATGTCATACTCCTGGAGGCTCTTCAAAAAAACAACACCACGGAGATATGCCCCCGAAGGCTTCTTGTTCGAAAGATTAAAGAGTCACAAGGGTTATTTTCCTGAAAGCTATTTGTTCAAAAATTAAAGAATTCTCCAAGTCCAAAGCAAATCCACTGATTGCCCGAGGGCACCCCAAGGAGAAGCCTTCTGTCTTATTGGAGCCCGACTCAAACCGAAGGGTGCGAACCGACGAAACCTACTCAACAACATGGAAATTTGGCTAAGTCCACGCATCAGATCCCCTCGAATGCGTGATGAAGGGCTTGAGGCTTCACATGAAGGGAAGTTAAAACACCGAAGGCACATTCTCAGAATTCGGACTCAAGTACAACATTTTGCTAAGCTCTGTTGAAAAAAATTCCAAGTCCACAATCATGGAGCCTCCAGGAAAACTACAACACGTCGAGGGCAATGTAATGCAACTCAACAATCTTTTCTGACTCTGCAATCCGAAGTCTATCGGGGAAGTCAAGCCTACATGAGGGCTAAATATTCAAGGATCTAACTCTTCTACCTCGCCTAAGTCCACTAAATGCTGAGGGCATAACATTGCAAATCCTCCGAACTTTGCTATGGTCATTAAGGCCGAGGGGTGATCGAGAGGTTTATTGAAACTAGCTTGAAATATTCCCAAGTCCACAAAACGGGACCTCTCGGTTACCTAAGAAGAGACCCATTGTTGTTTATGAATGAAAGCAGAATTCTACCGAGGGCTCGTTGATGAATTCTACTTAGAAATTTTTCTAAGTCCACAATTATCAAGCCCCCGGAGAAACTACTACGAGCCAGAGGCAACCCCATAATACTCAAGAGGGGCTTCCGGCTACCCTTACTGGGGACTGTCAAAGGAGTAGCTAGCACGAGGGCTCCATTGTGGAATTTTTACTTGGAAAAATTCTAAGTCCACAAATATTTTGCCCCTGGACATTCATGGGAGCAAGACAAGCATGCATTCACACATACACAAAACAAACATGCGAGAAAATGAAAAATAAGTAAGGGACGAAGTCATCCATATCAGAAAGCCCGAAGGCGCATCATACATTCATCAAAGATTCAAAAAACGAATTGTTTGTTTACAAGTGGCCGAAGCCGAAGGCCTCCCAATCTATTACAACAAATATTCTAAGGAAAAATTTCCTAAGCATCAGCTTCTTGGCCATCTTCCTTCGGTTTTGAGGCGGCGTCATCCCTGACCTCTTCATCACCATCATCGTCGCACCTCGCCAGCTTCGAGTCCTCCAGCAGCTCCCTTTCTTCGCCCTCAGGTAGGGGGATTCGGACGTCTGGCTGCAGGGGGAAGGCCGTAGGCTGCCGGATCAAAATCCTTAGGGTCCAGGCCATGGTAATGGGCCAACTTACGATATATCAGGGATTGAGTGAAGAACTCGCCCCCTTCATAATAGCTTTTTCCTTTCCGGGCAAGCCACAAAGCGTCGGGGCCTGCCGCCCACTTATCTACGGCCTCAGACACGACCGAGGCCACCCACTCCTTCTAGCCCTCAGCTCTCAAGCCCCCAGCGGTGAAGGCGTCGACGACATCTTTGCCTGCACAACAGCTTCTCGCTTTGAGCTCTCGGCTTCCTCGGCGGCTTTCTTGGCCTCCTCGGAAGCCTCCTTCTCAGCAGCGGCCCTACCTTCGGCCCTAGCCACCACCTTGGTATTCTCAAGGATTTTATGCATGGCTTCCTTCACCAGCCGAAAGGCGGTCTGGGCCTCTTGGAGCTGCCCCACCGGGCGTCGGCCAGTTCAGCGTCGCGCTTCGCCAAGGCCTCATCGGCCTGCACCTTCTGGATGCGTAGTTGCTCCACCCTCCTGGCCTGCTCAGAAGCGGCCAAAGCAGCCTGCAAGAAAAGAGAAACCTTAGGAATTTTATAAGTAGAAGGATATCACCATGATACCAATAAACTTTAAAGGGAAGCGAATAAAAGGAGGCTCACCATGGTGCTATAGCTGGCAACCTTATAGTCGAGGATAGCATCCTCCATCTGAGCCAGCACAGATCTGTCCTTCGAGGACATTACGCCCCTCATGAACCCGATGGGGTGCAGAGTGTCGTGCATGACGGGGGTCCCCACCTTGATAGGGAACTGAACGATCTCGGCAACGCGGGTCTCCTCATTTGTGCGAGACGGAGGTGAGCAAGGGGGAGTGGCGGCCGGAGGGGAGTACTCCTCAACAATCACTATGAGGGTATCCTTCCTCTCAGTAGCCCCATCATCTTCTTCTCCGAGGGCACCACGCCCTTCCCAGTCCTCTTCCTCTTGAGCCCTTCGACCTGAGAGCCCCTGGCATCAGAGCCAGCGTCATCACCAACTACAGTCTTCCTCGAGGGCTCCTCACCTTTTTGCACCTTGGGAGTTCCAGCCTTCGGAAATATTTCGTCCACGGACCTCTGCTGCCTGGAAACCTCCTTCTTCTTAGATTCCTTGGCAAGCTGCTTCTTGAGTTTGGCGAATGACTTAGCGTCCATGGCTTCACCTGCAAAAACAAGAGAGTGTTAGAAATCAAGAGAAAATCAAATAAAATGCTAAGTACACAAATCGAGAGCCCTCGGCAAGCACCTTCGGCACTCTGGTACACCCAGTCTATGATGGGGTACTTCTCGTCTTTCTCCCCCATCAACCGAAGCTGAAGGAAATTCAGCTTAAATAGCTCATCCGGGAGGGTAGCAGCTGTAATGGTGATCAGGTCTTCGAAACCCTCCGGGAAGGCTGTCAGTTTTTTCCCATTCTTATCGAGATCTGCGTTCCTCACTTTCAGGTGCCTCCGGAAATGGTTATGCAGGGCCTCGGAAAGGGGGCCTCCGCCATCCGGATGTAGCAGAATTTCTCTTTCCAGACTTTGTGAGATGAGGGAACCTCAGAGAACAGTCTCCACTCTGGCACCTGTTGCAGGTTGGCGTACCCCCCGACATGGGAATGCCCCCCTCTGCACAGATTAAACGAGAGGAATAACTGGTAGCGTTGGGACCACCTCTCGGGACCGGCAGAGAGCAAGGAAGCCGGCGATATACGAGTGGCTGTTGGGAGTTAACTGACATGTGGCCAGTCCCACGAACCTAAGATACTCTAGAACAAAAGGATGAAACGGGAAACGAAGGCCTAGCTCTACAGACAGGAGGTGATCTGAAAAGCATCCTTCAAGGGGGGGGGGGGGGGTGAGACAACAAATCATCGGGCCCCGGCGCTACGACTTATGCAGAAGGCCCTACTAGGAAGTGCACTGCTTGAAGCTCAGCAACTGTAGCCTTCGACTTCACCTCCAGGGCCGCAATATTCAAATAGGAGTGCCCCTCGAGAATACCAACGGGTTGGCCCGCATCGACGACAGCTTGCTTCTTCGACCTGATAGGGGAGGGGAGTTCACTTCTCATATCTTTATGAAGTTTTGTCAAGATGAGGGCATAAAAAGACAACTAACTGCACCATATACTCCCCAGCAGAATGGGGTAGTGGAGAGAAGAAATCAGACTGCTATGGAGATGACAAGGAGCATGATGAAGAGTAAACTATTGCCATCAAGATATTGGGGAGAGGCAGTCACTACAGCAGTTTATATCTTGAATACAGCCCCAACCAGAAGTCTAGAAGGAAAGACTCCTTATCAGGCTTGGTATGGGAGGATACCAAATGTAGGACATCTCAGGGTGTTTGGATGCTTAGCATATATCAAGACAGTAAAACCAAACCTGCAAAAACTGGAAGATAGAAGTGTAAGGGGAATTCTACTTGGCTATGAGGAAGGCACAAAAGCATACAGACTACTGGATCCAACAAAAGATAAAGTGTTGGTCAGTAGGGATGTAAAATTCGAAGAAGGAAAAGGATGGGAATGGAGTAGTAACCTGGAAGAAAAACAAGAGCAAGAAGGAGACATTTTTGCAGCCTGTGTACCAAGAGAAGGAAGGGAGTTAAGCACAGAAGGTCCTATGCAAAAACTTGACTGAGGAAGACAATGGAAATACTAATCAATCAACTCATATCTCATCTCAAGATGACACTTCCCGTTCAAATGAGGAGCCTAAACACTTTAGATCCCTGCAGGAGATATATGATGCGACAAGAGAGATAGTTGATGAGGTAAATCTTTGTTTTCTATGTGTAGAAGAACCTGAGAATTACCTTGAAGCAGTAGAGAAAATGGAATGGAGAGAAGCAATGACTCTGGAACTTGATTCAATCCAGAAAAATGGAACTTGGGAATTGACTGATTTACCAAGTAATCATAAGTCAATAGGACTAAAATGGGTGTATAAAGTCAAGAAAGATCCTGAGGGGAATGTAGTAAAGCATAAAGCTCGTTTGGTGACAAAAGGATACATTCAAAAGCATGGAGTGGATTATCAGGAGGTGTTTGCTCCAGTTGCTAGGATGGACACAGTCAGGACAATTTTAGCTTTATCTGCACAAAAGGGATGGCCAGTTCATCACATGGATGTAAAGACAGCTTTTCTCAATGGGGAGCTAAAGGAGGAAGTGTATGTTATGCATCCAGAGGGATATGTTGATGAAAAACATCCAGGTAAGGGTCTAAAACTACATAAAGCTCTATATGGTTTAAAGCAGGTCCCAAGGGCTTGGAATAAAAAGTTAGATGGATGTTTGAAGTCAATGAAATTCAAAAAATGTGTTTCTGAGCATGCTGTCTACATAAAGCATACTGGCACACAAATCACAATTGTGGGAGTCTATGTTGATGACTTAATTCTTACTGGGTCCAGTCCAGAACTCATTCAAAGTTTCAAATCAGAGATGATGAGTCAGTTTGAGATGTTGAGTGATCTGGGACTACTATGATATTATTTGTGAATAGAGGTTGTGCAGAATGAGGAAGGAATAAGCATGTGTCAATCAAGCTATGCCAAGAGGATCATAGAAAAAATAGGAATGAAAGATTGTAATCCTTGTTGCATACCCATGGAGCCTAGAAGCAAGCTGAGCAAGTTTGATGATGGAGATGATGTAGATCAGACACTGTACAGAAGCTTAATTGGAAGTTTAAGGTACTTGGTTCATACACGTCCTGATCTTGCATACTCTGTGGGAATAGTTAGCAGATATATGGAATCGCCAACATTTACACACATGAATGCAGTAAGACAAATTGTTAGATACATAAAAGGGACTGTAGGGATGGGGTGTATGTTCAAAAGAAGTCAAGGGAATGAAGCATTGATTGGATACTGTGATAGTGATATGGCTGGGGATATAGATGATAGAAAGAGTACAACAGGTATCCTATTCTTCTTGGGAGAAAATCCTATCACTTGGGTATCTCAAAAACAAAGAATAGTTGCACTCTCCTCATGTGAGGCAGAGTATATAGCAGCTACGGGTGGAGCATGCCAAGGGATTTGGCTTAATAAATTGTTGGAAAGTTTAAAAGGAGAATTCAGAAACAAGCCAGTGCTAAAGGTGGATAACAAATCAGCTATTGCCTTAGCCAAAAATCATGTGCATCACGAGAGAAGTAAGCATATAGACACTCGTTTTCACTTCATACGAGAATGTGTGGAGCAAGAGATCATAAGCCTTGAATATACCAATACAGAGGTGCAGCTAGCTGACATTTTAACAAAGCCACTTGGAAAACAAAGATTTGCTGAATTACGAGAGAAGGTTGGTGTGCAGGATGTGAAAACGAGGAAACAAGTTTAAGGGGGTGAATGTTAGTTTATAAACTTGTTTTTTTATTTTGTTATTGTTTTATGTTTTAGATTGTAATTAGGTTTAGTAAATGTTTTTAGTTGCATGTCATGGAAGTTATGTTTTTGAAGTTATGGGAGGTTTTTTAGCCCTACTTGGTGTAACTACCTCACCCCACTCCTTTGTAGTTGAAAAAGAAACGTTTAAGGGGTAGGATGTTTGCTAAGAAAGGTTTTTCCTCCAAAAGAAAAGAATAGAAAAGACTGTGTTTATATACTTGGCTTCATCTCTTGCATATATAGATCAATGTATGCTAGTATGCAGTGATTAGAAGAATAGGTTGGGGAGTATATTTCAACAACAACATCCTAACGATATATATTCAGAGGTCCATTGGAGGGCTTAGTTTCTTAAAATCAATTTTGCTAAATCCACTCAAAAAGAAAACTTTCAATTTAAATTTGGCATTTGAGGCAACCGCAACAGTTGAACTAAATCAAAATTTGGTTTGGGTGAAAACTTTTCTGCCTATACCCTTCTCTAACCAACACACCCAATAAACAACTAATTTCTGAAAGTACTTCCGTAAGGTATAAAGACAGTATGTGAAGGAAGGAAAATTGTGACATACCAGGTTTTTAGTTCTCAGATGTGTACACACCCAATAATAATGACTAATATAACTAACTCATAAAATTCGGGGTGTTACAGTCGGTCTGCTAACATAAAGACATGAGTTGAACCTGAATGTTGGTACTCTTCTTATTCATTTAAAGTTTTTTTCTTTTGCTTCAATGAACTCTTTTAACTTTGGTAAACTGTAATTATTAAACTAATAAAACTATGTTTTCATGATATTTGGGTCTTTAATTTTTCATCCCTAATTTAAGTTTGAAAGCCCTGTTGATTGCAGTGGAATAGTACCATATAATGCCTTGATTTGTTCTGCAATTTTGTCTTTGGATATAAACATTTGAATGTTATTTTACACTTTAAAAATCCTCTTTTTTTACATTTAAAGTATCTTTCCTTTTGTTTACAAGCTAATACCATATTTGCCAGGTTTTTTAAAGGCTGCAAATTTCTGTGCAGTATAGTCTCTTTGTGTTTATACTGTTATTCTCTTTCTTGCATTCCTGGGTACCAAATAATAAGCATGAGAAGGACAGATCTGGCTCGACTGTTTCTGCGCGGGTCTGTCACTTCTTTTGAAGTTATTACCTATTAGTTCAAGTCATAATGGTGATTCAAACTATGCATGTCTGATTGTTTTTTCTTTTTATGTTCATCCCTGTCCAGATGTAGTGAACCAAAACATCTTACTGCCGGAGGAAAGGAGAATTCTTTGTAATGTTTTTATCCTTGTCGATTGGGTTTGAAGCTCAGGCGCTTAGCTCGTTGCCACCATTTCTGGCCATGTGTTAGGGGTATTGGAATAATTTGATTGAACACATGTGACCAGTCAGGGGAGTTAAAATGGTAACATTGGCTACAATGTTGAACTCTTAAACCCCGTGAACTTTTTTTTTATTTTGTATTTTTAAATAAACGAAGTTAATGTTGTTTATTTTATTAATGTTTCAGGTGATCGACATCTGTGGAAAAAACAAGTAAATGGAAAACAAAGATATATTCCGCATGTGGATGTCAATAACTATTCTTTCTTCCACATGGGATGCGTCATTTCTTTTATAAGATTTTTACTTTGCAAAATTTTGTACAAGCTCTTACACAATAATGTTTGACATAATGTTATTTCATCATTAGATAATATATTAGAGAATGATTTATTTTTTTATAGGATGAGTTTGTTTGTTTTTCTGTTAGCTTCATAAGTCAGATTATTAGTGGATAAAATCCCTCAGTCTGTGAACTTACTAAAACTCAAGACCAGGGATGATTCTATAAGCAAATTGGAGAGTAAAAAATTGTGATATTGGAAGATGGTAACACTTCATAGAGGGGTAATCCTGAAGATATATACCTCTAATCATTCCAAAGAAGAATGCACAGAAATCTTACATCCAATAATTTAAAAGTTGCAGCCATAGTGCAAAACAAAGATACGGATAATGAAGAAAACCAACAAGGAAAATTGCAGACTATTCAAACTGCCAGGAAAAACGAACTACAAGAGATTATAACTTTAATCTACCTCCAATTTTACAGAACCTCAGAGTAAAAAGGTTTAATCTTACCTGGTAACAGTTTTATTGGCAGCAGCATTGAGCTGAGTTCCGACGTAGAAGAGTTCTGAAACCGTGCACAAGAAATAGATTCTACATAGGATTTTGGTAAGCAGATTCCTAATCTGACCAGAGGCGATTTGTAATCGAAATTCTTATGTTGTTAGAACTTTGAGGCGAAGAAAATTGAAGTGAAGAGGACTTGGATTTCTGAAGGAAAAAGCGAGTAATGGACAAAGGGAAAGGGTACAAGATTTTGTATTGTGTGAGTTTTAGGGGGTGTTTGGAACTGATTCCGCTTCTGCTTCTTTTTTAAAGTAGAAGCAGAATCAGAATCAGTTTTCAGAAACTGGTACCCCCAGCTTCTAAAAAAACTGATTCTAGGAGTAAATTAGAGCACCAGAATCACTTCTGCATTTTCACCCAAACACTTCAACTTCTAATTCTGCTCCTTGAAGGAGCAGAAGCAGTTTTAAGAATCAGATCCAAACACCCTCTTATTATGCAATTTTATAAAGTCTTAAACGGAATTGCTTATGTGGACTATCTTCCAGTTATATTAAGCCACATGTAGAATGTACCAAAACATTCAATAACATGAATCCACGGGAGAGCTCCCCTATAGTGTGATTGTTGTTGATTTGTTAATTGGAAAAATAGGTAATAATAATCTCAATTATACCCGGTCCGCTTTTAATAATTCCTAGTTTCGATTATTTCCCTGTAGTCCAACTTTTGACCCCCTTTTCCTAAAACACGCCCTGACCGGTAAACATGAGTTATAACCGGTAAAATAAACACGTGCAGTGCACATGTATTACTTATTATACCTTTAAACCCTTGCCCTATCTGCTATGCTTCTTTTTCGTCGTCCACCCCAAATAAAAGGTGAACACAATCAACGAAACTCAATGGCCAAATCGTCTTCCTCTTTTCTTCTCAATCGCGACGCAAGAACTCAACCAACCGCACACTATGGCGAAATGGGTTCGATTGGTGGGTCATCTTCATGGGGTAGGACTGGAAGTAGTGGTTTATCAAATCAGTGCTACCACAGAGTGTATAATGAACCTAAAATGGTGAAAAACGGGCCAAATACTCGGAGACAATTCTATGGGTGTGCACTGTGACCTGTAAGTTATCGAGTACTCCTTCGATTTTCTCTTTTCGCAATAGTATAACTTCAGAAGTTTGGAATGAGTTCTTAGAATCTGTCAAAATTCCATTACACTCAAACTAAGACTTTTGTGTATTTGTTATGACCATTATCATTGTTCACTTGCAGAAAGAAGATTGTCATTATTTCTAATGGATTGATGAAGGAAATTCTCTTTGCAAAGAAGATAGAATAAGCATTATATGAACACAGCCATAACCCTAAATTCTGGAATGACAAATAGGTTACAAGTTCATTTCAGTCCAACTTCATTTGAATGCAATTTGTTAATGAACTAGTCTACACAAAATAAGCATTATATGAACACAGCCATAACCCTAAATTCTGGAATGACAAATAGGTTACAAGTTCTTACCTTCCACCGTGACAGCAAGAACAAAGCTCCAGTTTGCCCGGTTCTTCTATTGTCTAAGCTTCTTCGGATGGGGTTTCTATGGCTGGGAACGTTGATTAATATGAGGTAGGTGAGAAGTAAAGAGGCTCAAGCATGAGAAAGGTGATGTTTAAAGTTTAACTTACCGGTTTTGCCGGTAATGAGTGCGCCGGATTGTTTTAGGAAAAGGGGGTCAAAAGTTGGGACTACAGGGAAATACTCGAAACTAGGGATTATTAAAAGCGGACCGAGTATAGTTGGGATTATTATTACCTATTTTTCCTTTGCTAATTTGGTAGTTTCAATCAATATAATAATGGGAAATTCTATAGAAATTATTCAAATAGGACTAAAACAATGACAAAAACTCAAAACAGGACTTGCTATGTTTTTATTCCAAAATAGGACCATATGAGTCGTATTTGGAAACATACCTATTTTTACCTTCCATTCTTACCCTTTCATTAAATATGAGTTAAAAATAGTCAAAAACCATAATTAAATGTTTAATTCATAATAAATTCTAAAAAAATTCAAAAAATCGTAGAAAAATAATTAAAAAATTTACAAAATATTTATAAAATAAAAAATTCAAAAAAACTAATAATTTTTTGTAAAAAAACAAATAATAAAAAAATAGTAAAACTCCATAAAAAAAGTAAAAAAATATGGATGCCTTTCCCACGCCTGTACTACCTCCCTGCACCACCACCTCCGGCCAATGAAAAAAAATGCCATTTAACCTAAAAACTGCCGTTTTTTCTGAAAATGCCAAAAAAAAATGGCATATTTCTCTTTGCGAATGCCAACATTTTCATTGTTTTCTGCCATAAATATGGCATTCGTAATGAACTTGGCATTTTTTACCTGGTGACTGGAGGTGGTGGTGCAGAGGCGGCAGAGCCGGCGGTGAATTTTATTTTATTTTTTTGAGATTTTTATTTTTTTAACATTTTTTATTTATTTTTTTGAAAAAAAAAACTAATTAATTAATTATTATTATCGAAATATTTTTATTAGTTTGTTAGTATTTTTTACGAATTTTTATTACTTTTTATTATTTTATTATGAATTAAAACATTTCAATAGCTAGAAGGGTATATTTGTCCAAGACACACATAATTAGTCCTATTAAAACATAGTTTAGTTTTTGGTCCTATTTGTGCAAAATGAGTCACTTTTAGTCCTATTTTGATAATTATTGGTGCATGTACTAATTCTTGGGGTACCGGTACATTTGCTTGTTTGGACAAATAACGCAGCAACACGTATATATACTAAAACCCATGCGGGGTATTAATAAAAGGGATGGATCACAATTCAACTACATAGTTAAATTTAAGAGGCACTGTAGAAGTACCTATAATAGTAGTGTCAGTACTTTGGTTTTTTGGGAGGAACTTTGAGTCTTTGATTACCATTTGTCAATAATCAGTCCAATCAAATTCATGTCTAATGTTTCTAAATATTTTAAACATGTTGAATTTTGGTAGCATAAGACTTAAGTGCTTAGCTTTAAAATAAGTTGAGTTTTTTTTTCAGGATCCTTATTTCATTATCAACTATCATTTCCTAAGTTATTATGAAATAGACATTTTCAATTCTTCTACTTTGATTCTGCATCAAAATGAAATGACTAAAAATGTCAATGGTTCTGTCGAAAAAAATGTCAATGGTCGTGTTTGATAACAGTGGTTGTCCAGGGGCGGATCTACTCACATATGAGGGGGGCAGCTGCCCCCAATAAGATCTCACTAACCCTTTGTAAGTTTTTAATTAAAATTAAAGGTCCAAGTAATTGCCCCCAATAAAAAGAAGTAGTTGCCCCCAATAAACAAAATGAATTGCTCCCAATAAAAAGAAGTAGTTGCCCCTTTGCTAGTTTAGTACTCCGTATAGTTGTTTTATGACTTCATATATTGTTTACTTTTCGTATTTAATATAAAGGGAAAATGGGCAAATAAGCCCACGTACTAACAAAAAAAGGTCAAATAAGTCCTTATTTAGGAGGCTCTGTCTGGTTGTCCTCATTTGGGGTGGTTCCCAAAGGAATTATCTGATGAATTTTTTTTAGCATCTTATTCATTTAGTCTAGTTTATGCATACCAAATTTCAGCTAAAACTTCCATCGCGAAGACATTCACATGAATTCTTGAAGATAATTGTGCAGTTAAAAACGCAGTTATCTTCAAGAATTCATTTGAATGTCTTCTCGATTGAATTGTTAGATAAAATTTGGTATGAGAAAACTAGACTCAATGAATAAGATGCTCAAAAAATTTCATCAAAAAATTCCACTGGAAACCGCCCCAAATCTTGACGGTCGGACAGAGCCTTCTAAATAAGGACTTGTTTGACCTTTTTTTATTAGTATGTGGGCTTATTTGTCCCTTTTCCCTAATATAAATATTAAGGATGTTTTTACTTGGACTACAATTTACTGGTCTAGTCTATTTAAGTATGATCTGGTCTGGTAAATTTCTGGTCTTTGTTTATTTTATAACTACGCAAGTAAAGTCTGGTATGGTATATTTAAGTCCGGTCTGGTTTGTCTAAGTCTGGTCTGGTCTATTTAGTCAGGTCTGATTTGGTCTGCGATTGAAAACAATCCAAGTAAAAACTTCCTAAATAGTATTACTAAAATGATAATAATGTTAAAAATTTATTATAGGGTTATTTATTTAAATGAATCGGATTTAATATTTTAGAAAAATCAATTAGATTAAATTCAATTGGTGTGTTTCCGAAATAGTTACCCATTTTAATGTTTTACACTTAGAAATTATAAATTACAAAATGGCATTTAATATGTTAGAAACACTAAATATAAATAATATGTTACTTTAGGTAGTTAAATAAAATGTATTAATGTATTACAAAAGTTAATTGTGATGTATTTTGTTAAAACTTTTATTGAAATTTTAAATTGTTACAAATGAAATTGTAATGAATCTTTTCCAAAAGATTAAAACTGGGCGCGAACAAGTGTGATGTATTTTGTTAAAATTATTGTACTATTACATTAATACTTTATTATTATTTTTTGATGCATTTTTTGTTTACCCCGCCCCCAATAACTTTGTATCCTGGATCCGCCACTGTGGTTGTCTACTAACTAATAGGTGATTGAATCAGCAGATTGATACTAGCAGTTTGAAATAAAATGTTAATAACTTAGATGTTTGCAATTAGCTTTGAAGACATAAAATGATCATTATAGACATGATCAAATTTAAAAATAAAATAAATGAAATGTAATTAAATATAGAGTTTTTGCCACTTTTAGTCCCTCGACTATTGTGTCAGTGACACTTTTGGTACTCAACTTTTAATTTTTCCATTTTTAGTCCTCGACTATAGTGCGTGAGACACTTTTGGTATCCGACTTTAAAAAATTTCGTATTTAGTCCTTCGACTTTTGTAAAAGTGATACTTTTGGTCCTTCAACTATTGCAATAGTGACATTTTTAGTCCTTCACTTATTGTGTCAAAATCATAGTAGAAGGACTAAAATTGTCAATTTGATAATACTCAAAGGTCTAAATGTGGGAAAATTGAAAGTCATGGACTAAAAGTGTCTCTCGCACAATAGTCAAGCACTAAAAATGAAAAAATTAAAAGTCGAGTACCAAAAGTGTCACTGACACAATAGTCGGGGGACCAAAAGTGACAAAAACTCTATATTTAATTACAT